TCAAACTTGCTGAGAATGATGAGCTATGGATGTGTCAGTTATTACAATCAAAATAATATTCATAACTGAAAAGATTTTTGTTTTAACTGCTACAGAGCTGATAGATTATGCCATTTCGCAAAACCGAAGTCTTGTTGATGTGAAATTCAACATGATGGCAAATTTGAGTTATTAAGCACTTAAGTCTCAAAATTTGTCTGGCTCTAGATGACTGTATTCTCAAACAGAAACAATCAAAATATGTGTTTAAATCTATCTGTTTGACAAAAAATAAGGGGTGGAACAGGGTAAACCCCCTATTTTTAAATACGAAATTTGTTCATACACTATTTGTTTAGGCTCAATCTATTTGAATCTAAAGCTAACAACTAACTAAAGTGAAGCTCTAAGATAAGTGTGTTTGATGGTTCTATCTAAATAGTTGACAAATAGGTAAAGGATGGTAAAAATGTAAAATGCTGAGTCATCGACACACCTGACATTGAAAACTGAGCGCACATATTTAAATTTAAAAAATGAAGGCAAATTAAATCTTTTAGAAATGTAAGGTGTTTTATTGGAATAAATGTAATAAACTTGTTGATATACTTATATAAATAGTTTAATTAAAAATATATGTGTTTCTGCCTATTCGTTAATATATTACATTTCAGGAGAAGTTCAACATTGGTTGGTTTTAAAAGGATATAGTTCATATCACAAATTAATTAGTTTGCCTAAATAAAAGATGAACACATTATTTATTTTAATAGTTTTAATTCCTCTTTTACATAGTGTTCCCTCATTAGGCCATATAACTGCTCATCATATTGTAGAGATGTGCTGGTTTAGAAGTGTAGGTTCTATCTGGAAAAGTAAACAGTACAAGTACATTATTTGCCTTCCCATCAAAATAAAAAGGTTTTCTGAATACACCAAATATTTAATGTGTATTGTTATTACAAGACCTTCCTTTCTCCCCCCCCCCCCCCCTCCCCCACCCCACTACCGTCAATATCAAAACAACGCTGGCCCCAATCGCCGGCGTCAAAACAACGCGCGTCGGCGTCAAAACAACGCGCGTCGGCGTCAAAACAACGCGCGTCGGCGTCAAAACATTCAAATCCCCGACAAAACCGACATTGATATTCCCGACAAAACCGACACTGAAAATGTGAAATCCCCGACAAAACCGCTCATCAATAAGGCACGTGGTCATTAACGCTCACGATAAAACAGCTTTACCGCCCATGCTACAGTGATAACACAAAAACTGCACGGCGCTACAAAGTTTACATTCAAACACATGTGGTGAGAAACTTAAAAATGTAGTAAAGTCTTTGTATCTATCAGCAAGCGAAAAAAAAATTGTCCATAAATGACGTCACCAAGTTGTATCACCCACGGATGTTTACTAAGTTACATTTACTCAACCCTCACGCACGTAGCACATCAGAAAAAGCCAAAACTTGACCTCACTTTCACCCGTAATTCTGTGACGTCAAATAGGACGGTCATTGACCGTTTCCCAGTGAACACAGTTAAAAAATAAAACACGCTAGGGCCTATACGATTTGTATATATATATTTCAAAACTACAATAATATTAAATAAGTTAACAAATTACACTGTTCCAAATATAAAATAAAAAACAACAAAGTTGATACGCCTATCTTGCCCACAATCTAATACATAATTTCCTAGTTAATGGCCATCTTTACACATGCTTACGCTTAACACCATATGACATCATGCAATTAGTCAAGCTCCCCCCCCCCCACTCTCTCCCCATCCACTAAACAGTAGACCCTACACATCACACAATCATCCCCCTCTCGTGTAAGCGTAAAGTATTAAGAAATAAAGAGACCCGACACCTTCCGGTTTTTTTACTTTCGCTTTCTAAGTAAGAACTAGACAGCGCTTAACCATACACCCCACTGTGCAGCATATAACTTCTATGAGCTGCATCCAAACTCTTTCAAATTTCAGTATGATAGAGGAAAATGGTGTAGGGACTCTAGCAATCAATAAAAAAAGACATGCGTCCAATAGTTAATTTTAAATAATAAATCAAACTTACCTTATTTTCAATGAAAAGCTCCATTTTGAATAATCCATGAAAATAAAAACAAAATATAAAAAACCAGGCAAAGTCCATTTTTAAGTAGAAAAACAATTTTCACATTAAATTTGACCGTTCAATAACGGAGAGGAAAAAAATTTACTAAACCGTCGAATTCGCGTAGCCGCACACGCAAACCTGTCGGTAACGGGAGAAAAAATACGCAGCTCAGCGAGAATCGGGAGGCTAATCCTAGTACCTAATTTAATGTTTCAATCATTTTATATTCCTTAGCATTGAATTTGAGATATTCATGTTTTAGTGACATGCTACTTGCGATTTTTTTTCCCCCTCTTTTTTTTTCCCTGCGGCCATCTGAACCGGCTTGCGTAACGATCGTGTTTTATACGTTTTAATCCTAGTTTAATAAATAAAATAAATATTTTACTTTTAAACGTGTTGTAGATTGTATTATTAATTAATAGATTGCAAAACCAAATTAAAAACATGTTAATTAAATTAATTAACGACATTAAAAGTTGACCCAGTGATGACTCAAGGGACTCAACTATAATAACCATAACAAAGGGACGTAACAACCACTGACAAGACATAACGTAACATTTGCTTAGATATTCTTGTATGTAGAGACACAAACTAGATTTAGAAGAAGTAGATGATCGAAATAATTTAAAACAGCAGAAAAAAATAGAAATTATACAGATTCTAGGCTTAGCTTGAAATGTAGAGCTTCTAGAACTAGGCTAGTCTACCTCAAATCGTTGGTTATGCAGCGAGGTGAAACTACCCAAATCGTTACCCAAGCTGCGGCCACCCCTATTCACATATCAGGTTGCTTTATTAGCCTTATCTATCGTATGTACAGTGTCCCGCACATATTGTAGAAGCTATTTATAGTTAACCTAGTTATAAAAAGCTCTGATTGGTTGGTTTATTCATCTCATCCGGGACCTAGTGTTTTTCATACGGGGAACTAGAATCGCCTACGACGTCATACCTCGAAACTTTAAAATTTAAAAACTCGACTTCCAGAAGGAGAAAAACAAAAGAATTTGACCTGGATATATTTAGAAATGGACAGGTTTACAGCAGATATCGGTAGTTTCGTATAAAACATCAAAACAAATATTGTACGAAGCGATAAACAGGCGATGGCCGCACTCGGGTTTTATCTGCGCGTGGAACTTTAGGTAGGTTTGTTTGTCTTTTATGCAACCGTTCTTCTGATTGCCATTAAACTTTGGGAAGTTTAGAATACTCAAGAGAAGGTTTCAGCACACATACAAGTTAAATAAAGAATGTGAAAATTGAAAATTCGGTTGCAGTTTTGAGTTTGGCAATCATTTGACCTGCAGAATCTTGGGCTCCTCAGTGAGCTCTTAAGTGCTCACATTCATTTTTAAGAGCAACCAACTAAATGTTACTATAGGGATGCAGTGGGGCACTACATTCGATGACAAAACCAAACCAGGATACACACCCTGCGCCCCTATGGCTTTCATACAGCAAACCCTGGAGTGCCTGGGCAGTAGCACAATAAGATTCAATATTCAGTTCAGTGCTGGTACTGTCACTAGCTCACACATCTAAAAATACATCATTGGTAACACGTTGATGAAACCATTCTACGGTGGCAGTTCTAGCTTATTTCAGGTTCAGATGACTTTTGATTTGAGCTAGATTTGTTAAAATTTGTAAATTACTAATTTTTATTTTGGCTGCCTCATAGCCATGCAAAAATAACCCTTCAGTAACAACCATATTTTAAAAATTAAGATAATTTGTCAAAAGCTAATTTTAAGAATTTAGTACAGAAATAGCGTATGGCCTGTCAGGAAAGAGATTGATTAAAAAAAGCCTTTAAATTTAATCAATCTTTTCAGTGATTGAGAAATTTTTTTTAGAGTAATGACCTAAATATGTGGGCACACGGTACACCATTTAAATTAATGATGTTGAAAATAATGTTCTACTAATACCAGACAAAAGTGGTCATACAAACAAATCTTGATAAACTATTTTATTTAATGTTGTCAAATAAATGTTGATAAAATTAATGATGTTCTAGGTGATGTTTTTCCACCTGGCTTCAAGGGAATGCATCCAGTTAATAAACAGCAACAAGCAGGAGCAGATGATATTAAAAAGCATATTAGGGTATGTGCATAAATTTAATTTAATTTATGGATAGAATATACCCTTGTTTTCAATTAAGAATTCTTTCCCCACTGAAATGGGTTGAACACAAATTCCAATAGCAACACTATTTAGCCATCCAATCTGAACATTGCATACTTCAGCCAACAGTTATACTTTTATTGCAATCTTCCAACCAAATTTTCTCACTACTACTTGCCAAAATTTAAAAAAAAAATCTTTTTAATTTATTCTGCAGAATACCTTTATTCATATGCCACCTACTTTTAATTAATTTAAATGTAGCAAAATATTCCAAGTGGACTTGCTGATAAAAATATCTTTTTATTTTTACTTTTACTTATTTCTTCATTTGGAAATTAATAAACCTAGATCTTTCCGAAATTACAGAGATAATATTACCATAGACATCTGATGTTTCAAATACATTTAAAAAATTGTGTGGTTTTTTTTGTTTGTTTTTTTTGGGATTATGAAAAATAATATATATCTAATGATGTTTTCTTAGCCTGGACCGCACCCTGGCATGCGGGCTGCTGCTGAGATGCAGCGACAACAAGCTCAACAAGGCTCTGGGCGGGGAATGATGGGGGTGGTGCTGCCCATGTATGCCATAGGGATTGTGCTGTACTTAGTGTACACTTTAATTAAGGTAACCCCTCCTTTTATCGATTCATAAGTAAAATTAAGGTAACCCCTAGTTATATCAAGGATTCATAAGTAAAATTAAGGTAACCCCTATTTATATCAGGGATTCAGAAGTAAAATTAAGGTAACCCCTATTTATATCAAGGATTCAGAAGTAAAATTATGGTAACCCCTATTTATATCAAGGATTCATAAGTAAAATTAAGGTAACCCCTAGTTATATCAAGGACTCATAAGTAAAATTAAGGTAACCCCTATTTATATCAAGGGTTCATAAGTAAATTATAGTGCATCAGGCTTAATTGGTAAATGAAGTACAAAATGTGTTAGATGAACATATTTTTTTTTTTTCACTTTTAAAATACAATAATTTTGTTTTCATAAAAGTGCATGAAATATAACACACCAACTAAATAAATTTTGTTTACTGACATATCAGCTTATGTTTTGTTGCATCAAGTGTTAAATACATGTTTGTTTGTTTTTACAATATTAATGTACTGATGTTTTTCATTCTCACAGCTAAAAATATAAAAATTACAATAGTTTTGAAGTAAGACGTTTAATTCTTAATTTGCCTTACTTTTATCAACCCACCAGGTGTTCAACAAGTCTAAAAACAACTCCTGGAGTAGAATTGGTGGAGGGTATGACAGGGAGGAGCAGAACAGTTCTGTTGACAGGATGGGTTTCCCCACAAGCTTGGATGGCAGCGGAGATGTCCGCAACTTTTTAAATGACCATCAGCAGAGGAAGGAGTTGGAGGACCTACTCACTCGTGTTGATGAGAAGAACGTCTGTGAGTTGTGTGGTTTTTTTAAATTGCATTTATTACTTGCAATGTATTAAGTTCGCATACTTTGTTCTGCTAATGAAGCAGAGAGGATAGGCAGGTGCTTCACATGTGAAGTCTAAACACTGAATGAGAGTGTGTAGCCGGTCTACATGTAAATTACTTTATACATAATATATTCACTATAGGTCATTGTATAATTGAGCACACAAATGCTACCCCAAACTTTAAATTTTGGGCTTGAATCATTAGGGCACTATAGTGTCCAGCCTGCTCTGGTAAGTATCTGATGTGATTCAGGGACCATATAATACTGTCCACAAATATGGTCATAGAAAAAGATTTAAATCGTGTTAACTTTTATTTTATTCAATAAGAACTGTTTGTATAACGAAACAACACATAGCAACTAGTCTTGATTTCTTCCAGCAACTGATGAGATGCGAGCACTACAGAAACGTCTTGAAGAAACAGAAGCTCAGATGACAAGGATTCTACAGGCCATGCAATCTGTTCAGAAGAACGTGGACAAAATTAGCACCTATGATGGTGCACCACAGGTTAGATAATAATTTAAATAATTGTTGATGTTTAATGGTTATACTTACCTAAGATATGTCATGCTGATGTCCCTTTATGAGGAAAGTTTTTATTTCTTAAAGATTACATTGTCACACTTTGGAGTTAATAGCTTGTTAATTGCAACTACACAAAAAAATGGAATTTTTAAACACTAACCCATTATACTGCATGGCCCCAGCGTAAGATCACTCGACTGCCAATACAAAAGTCTTGAGTTTAAATCAGGGTTCAATACAGTAGTACTCTGGTGGGTACTTAACCTGAGGTAATTAAAGGCGGTTGGGCATATTGCTGACAAAACTGTCCCTTTATATGCCGAGGTCTCAGAAATAGGTGAACTCTACTTAGCCTGTCCCATGGACCGTTAGGCTTGAAAAGAGAACTTAATTTACTTACTTTACATACTGTATATCTAAAAAAATAAAAAAGATGAAAGAAAGTGTAAATTTTCATTCGAATTTTTGTTATTTGGGGAGTGAGAATTGGAACGTAGTGATGTCATAGAGGAGAGGGGGCATTCTGTTTTTTGTGACAATGGAAGTAATGGTAAGAAAACATTTGCTGGATGCCATTTAAGGATGATTTTTATTATTACCATTGTACAGGAAATAAATCTGGCCAGCTCAGAGAGCAGAGGCGATCCAGAGGAAAATGCTGAAAAGGACCCAAATGAAGATGTTGAAACACCGACTGAAAATTGTGAAACAGGTGAAGAGAATTTGAAAGAAAATGCCGACGTAGATTTTGATGACATTGATAGAGATGATGAAGAGGGTGAGGAACAATGTGAGAGCTCTGTTGGAGCTGACGAGCAGGGCACTGAAATTCCCAGTAGAAAACCAGAAGAGGATAATGATTCGACCGTCAGACAGAGGCAAATAAATAAAAATGAGCAGTAAGTAGTGATTGGTGCGTTTGATTTAAATTATTAAAATTTTGAAAATGATTATTTTTATCAAACTTGGATAAAGTTTTGTGAAATAAGTCATAATAAAACTATGTGCAATGGCTAGATTTATTTTGAACATGTTCAATACAGTTTTAAATCGGATAAATTGTAATTCAATGTTCAGATGCAATTTAGATATTTAAAAAAAAAACCCACAAATATTGTTATTTTTTTACAAATAAATGACTCTTAAAATAACATGTAAACATCCTTGGTTAACATTTTTTTTAACAAAGGAGAATTTGTGATATTTTATTCAGTAACTTGTTTATCAACCTCATCAATTGAACTATGGCTAACAGTTTTTTTTTTGTTGGGGTCTACCAGCAACCCAGATCTGAACATGTCACCATAATTTATTTTTTCTTTTAAAATCATTAGCTATTGAGTCTCATATTAACATGCTTTATTATTGTGTGGAATGACTATTTATATTTGGTATTTTTTTTTAATCCTGGGAAAATCTGTATACCTTCTTCTGCTGTGTAAATGTTTTACATGTTTTGTTGTTTATAATACCATAATAGTTTTTCTTATCAGTACTATATATTTTTCTTCTTAGCTGTAGATCTGTTTGTAATTATAAGGGCTGATTGATTTGACACTATATGAAATATTTGTTGTGTATGAATAGTCCATGATTTTTTTCAACAATCATTCAAAAGGTTTGCTGGTTTTTTTTATCGATTAAACCATTCACTTTATTGTTTAGACTAGATTTACACATTTTTTATATAACTATGTGGTACCATTTGTTAAAAGAAATCCATTACTGTTCACATTTGTTAGTAGTTAATTTGCAAGTGATATAGTGTTTAGTATTAGAAAATTATTTTAGGTTACTAAACCAAAGATAAGTTTTTGTGTATGTTATTTTAACTTGGTCTTTAACTATTAGCTAAAGAAATGCTGTAATAAAACTCAAAACAAATGGAAATTAACTATCTACTATGTATTAAGCTAAACTTTTGCAGTGTTTCTTCAGCAAGGTAATGTGTAACTTGTATCTTTATTGAACAGTTTAAATATATCAATGAACAAAAAACCTCTTTATGAGTACTCTGCTTAATTCTACTGTGAATTAAGTCTAACTTCTACAATAAAGATTAAACTAACTGTGTTTAAAATACATTTGGAATCGCTTAAAGTAAAGATTTGTGTTGCATAATAATAGTATGCTTTTTGGTAAAGTGCAATACAATTGTGAATCTTTTTAATAGTTAAATCTATTAAAAGTATTACAATTCTGACAAGCTGTTATATTTTTGTGATAAAGCCACTTTTATCTGATTATACTGGATTGCTAAATTGATTGTGTTGCTTCAGCTGCTTATGTATTGAGTTTACTTACTAAAATACTTACTGTTATCAGAATTAATGTAGATCATAACTAACACCTATAGTCTGTTATCAAATTTAGTTAAGATCATTTGAACTAAACTGTTTACAAAGAAAAATATGAATGGTAAACTGATTAGAGTGGAACTGCCTGCTTTTCACAAGTAGACTGCTTAAGTTACCTTCACTCTTTTGTTACCATTTCACCAGTTTGTCTTCAGACTGATAATATTCTTCAATCCACTCTTAACTTGTGCTGTTCTTTTAAAAATCCTTTTATGTCTTCTTTGAAGTAAAATTTCATTATCCTGGTGCATGATCAATTTTTTATATTACATTAATATAAGAAAAATTTATGATAGCTGCATGAATTAGATCTGTTAGTGCATATTGTATTCCTTCTAAATAAAAACCATGTTCTAATGTATCATTCACTCAATTATTCAATCATACTGCAATTAATGTGAAATTACCCTGTGTATATTTCTCAAATGAAGGTTGTTTTTTTTTTTGAGTTTTTTTTTCTAGATACTTCCATTTTGGAATCAAATGGTTTATAGTTTATTTGTTTTTTCCGTTTCCTAAAATGGTTTATTCTGAAAAGGTATAAATAATTAACTGTATTTTAGAGAAATACCAAAATTTTTAATTAACAAACATTACCTTATTTGAGTTGAGTTACTGAAATGATTTACGCCAGTTTTCTGATGTCGACAAAAAATTTGGGTCAAAGTCTCCCAACCTTCCCAGACTAAATGTGAATAAAACAACTATGGAAATAGTGCAGGTGAAGTAGAAGTTTGTTGACACAGAAAATGATGGTTTTTATGTAATTCGTATTATGCCACTATTATGCCCAGAATTTTTTACCTTCACTAAATTGTCTATCAGAGCTGACTGGATCCCTGAGCATCACACGATTTCTTGCACAACTTGATTGTCAAACGCTTCTGACTTTTCATTACAGAGTACACCATGTTGACATGGTATCGCAATATAAATCCTTAAACTCTGATTGAAATATTCACACCTGAGCCTGTTGGTAGACATGATAAAATGTGTAAGCTATGCAATCCCCGTTGTTTAATATTTGCATAGCTGTAATGTACTTTAGACAGCCAGGGGTTATTTGTGCTTCATAGCGGAATTGCACAAACATTTTGATAGCATGAAGTGTCTTAAACATCTGAATTGATGTACATTTTCAAGATGAATGTGGAAATTTACATTTTTTAAAATAACACAATTTTTTTAGCACACTTATTCATTATGTTTATATTTAATGAAATGAGTTGAATATTTTCTTGTCCTTTTATTTTTAGATTGGATTTTTTTTTTCCAGAATGGGGGATTTTTGTTATAGATTTTTGATTTACTGTGTTTTAATTGTTTCTCATATTATTGGTTAAATTTTTTTTCGATTTTAAGAATACTCTTTTGTTTGATCTCTAATACCCATTTGCTCATTGTTGACTTCTTTTTCTACCATTGTTGATTGGTTTTCTTCAGGCTAGACAATTTTAATTTACCTCAACTTGTACCCATGCTGCCATCCTATGTTTATTTAAAATTTATCTTTTTGCTTATGTATTTGGTAGAACTAAATTATGTAAGAAGAAACCAAATTCATGTTAAGTCTTAAATAGGTGTACATTAGCTTCAGAAATTTATTGATTTTTAAGACCTGCTTCAGCCTAGTTTTATTCTGTCCATGAACGGTTTGGTAAAGGATTGGTAAATTTATGTGTACACCTGAAATGTTTTGTATATTGATCAACAATAAACCAAATAGCAATCTTTCAAGTTACTATGAATGCTGTTGTCAATTTTTTATTAACTAGCATACAAAAAGTGATAAAGTAACATTGTATAAAATTAAACAGAAGACATGGTTAATATGAAGAATAGTAACTTTTATTAAGTGGATGTGTCTTACGGGGCCATCTGAACTCAGAATCTGAGTGAATTCTAATGGAATGTCATAATTCAAAATAACATCATGAACATACAATCAAAGTAATGTACAAAAAGTGTTTGTATCCCAAACTTTTTGGCCTGACCAAATCTCTGGCGTAATTGTTTTGTGAGAAATATTTATCTATTAGTGGCTTCAAATTTGACATGTTAATTATCACTATTAAAATGGGAAGACCAAAGTGAAGCCAACAGTTAACAATGAAAATGGATACCATCTAAAACATGCATGTGAATGATGCAGGTAGCTGTTTGTTTCACTATGATTCATGTTTCCAAAGGATGTTAAATCTACCGATTTCTTAAAGTTAAAACAATGACAAAGAAAGCAAATAAACAAGAAAATTGCACCAACTACAAATCTTTACAAAAAAATGAAAGATTTGCAATACATAGCAAATGAACAAGTAAACTATCAGGGATTGGATACATCCAGATAACAATTCTACACCTTCACTTCTTAGACCTTTAAAAACTTAAATGACATACAATCTCTATGTTTGGTAATTATGCTACTGAACATAAAATGTGTACAAGGCACAAAGGGGGGTCACATTACTGCTGTGGCATTGGTTTAACAAAAATACATCATTCCATAACCAGTAACCAAGTTTCAGCACAACATACTAAAATAAGCAGGGGGGGGGGGGGGGTGAACTTATTTTGACACAGGCTGACCCTGTCTTAGCTAAGTACCATAAAGTACAGGTATTTAGACACCACTAAGTATCTTTATGGGTTTAATAATGAAATTATCCATAGCTTTATTTATAATAATTTTGGCACTATCAACTATAATGTCTGTGTTTGTACTTTACAAATACGATCAGTCTAACAAGAAGCACTGAGCCATTCCAAATTTAAAGCTATCCAAACTGTAATAATTGTGTACAAATTTACATAACCAACTATTTACACAACTAAATAAATTATGGCCTGTGAATTTACAAACTTGCACATGTAACTGGCCAATAAATAAACCAAAGAAAGACATACAGATAGCCTTAAGAACAGACTGCCTAATGAGATAAAAGAATTTTTATTTACATAAAATCCAATGAAATAGGTATTTAAAATAGAGTTATGTGCTTTGATAGTAAGGTCTAGATGTGTGTATGGAATCTGTAATTAAAATGAAAGGCTTTTAAAAAAAATCTAGAAACAATTCAAGTTCCTTAAGTATTAATGAACATGTTAAGTATTTTAATAATTTAAAAATAAAGTTAATGTATATTTAAAATGCTAAGTTCTTCTTAGACATGGATTTAAAAAATTAAAACTTAAATCTACAACAAAATAAAATAAAAAAAAAAAACAATCACATAAATATTTAAGAATACTGAATTATGTCAAAGCAAATTCCCAATGCTTTGATAAGGCATGTTAAGTCCTGTTTTTTTTATTCCAGCCATACAATTACAAACTTTTTATCTCTTATGATGTTTGAACTACACACTGGATTTCCGCATCAGTAATGTCCTGCTATAATTTAATAAGCCTTAAACTTTTAAGTAGTCAGGTCAAAGATTGTTATATAATACATAATATCTTTACAAAGACAGCTAACAATATTAACAAAGGATTTTTCTTCATGACACAGACTAGGTTATACTTTAAGAAAAGCTGAAATAATTTCAGTTGGACAAAAGGTTAATTTCCTAACAGTTTGTGAATTATGTTCTACATAAATTATTCATGTAAATTTAGAATGGAATAATTTTAACTAACAGTAGAAATTACTACTGTAAGGGATAATCTGACACCCAAGTACAAATGAAATGCATTTCAAATTTACAATAAAAAAAACTGGTATTAAAATACAGGGTATCACTGTACAGGGTAACATGAAATTTTGGTCAAATTTCCTATTTAAATGTAACATCAAATTGTATCAACCGGTCACTAGTTTAGTCAACCTGAATAAGAAAACTGCCATTCATAAAATTTGGATAACTTAAGCACATGAAATAATGACACAAATTAATCAGGTGACTAGTGATTGTAAACATGCAAGTTTAGCTGACCCTAAACACTTTGTACAAAAAAATACATCTAATGATTTATTTTTTAAGAATGAAATGTTTTTAGTCTAAACCTAAATTTTACTCAGTCTTCTGTACCGTCCTCATTACTACATACTAATTTAGTACATAAATAGTAAAGCTAGAATCGTAAGGAGAATAATCTTGAGTTACATATTGTGAGAACCATTGGAAATGTATTCTAAACAATAGCTAAGGCTTGCCCTACTTGTTTAGAGGTTGAAAGCAATGATAGCCGGAGCAATAATTTACAGACCACATACAGGCCTAGTCAACAAGTTTAGAAACTTATCTGAGTAGTACAAGTTCACACAGCTATTTATATAGGTTGATTGGCCAATGTGAGTAGGTTTAAAGCAGCCTCCTTCTCATTCTGTTCCTGTACAGTTAGATTAGTATTAGTGGCAGACCCATGTTGAGGGGCCCCCTTCAAACTGTACTGCTTCTCACCGGCATTCACCTGCCGACTCTCAGAATCTAAGACGCCATTAGAAGAGTTCAGCATCAACACGCTAGCACCCCCTGACTGCTGGGTCCTGACCACAGAGGTCTGGCCGTTAAAGGCAGGCTTGGTGCCGAGAGTGGATGGGCCTGACAGTGAAAAAGAAAACTGTGCGTTGCCGTTGTGGATCCCGTTCACAGACCCTGTGGTGGATGATTCCCTTCCTGTTGGTCTGCTGGCAATCAGATTCTGAGACAGTGATGAGGTTGAAGCCATGTTAGAATTTAGGTTTGTTGTGAACAGAGTATTGTTTTGTTTCAAGATTTGGTCGGATGCTTCAATGCAGGCAGGGGGCACAAACAGTTGAACATCTGTCTTGGCACTTGTTGACATAGTCCCCGAGGTCATCTGCTGGATACTGGGCACGGAGATGTTAGTGGTCGGGGAATAGTACTGATCGCCTATTTTGTATAAGTATGTCTTGGAGTTTTCACTGCCTGGTTTAGAACCTACACCAAGAGAGACAGGTAGCTGAGTGGTTGTTTGACTGGTAATGTGAGGTTGATTAGCGTTGATGCTAGCTATAGGCTGGCTGAGGAGAATCTGAGCTATTTTACCCTCTTTCTTGTCAACAACGTTGCTGGACTGTCCACTAGCAAAAATAACCGAGGGCTTGGCTAAACCTTGGCTTGAACCACCAGCTAAAGCGGAGTTGTTGATGACAAACTGGGAGGAGTTTTGTCCAGCGACTGAGTTAGGGCTGGGCAGGGCGTTGATAAACTTGATGGGACTGATCATATTGGCTTGCTGAGGGGCCAGCTTGACCGGTGATATCAAATACTGACCGGCACTGGAACTTGGCACAATCATCTGGGCTTTAGACTGGGGGTTGCCAACAATAACAGCTGAAGAAGATTGAGACATTGAAGGCACCATCCCTTGCAGTGTGTTCTGACTGTTTAAGTTGGACTGAAGCAGATTGGAGTCTGCTCTTATAACCCGGTTCACAGTCCCTGTCAGGGATCCAGCGGAAACTTTGTTGAGGGAGACACTGCCCAGGGTCAGGCCTGGCTGTGATGAGGGGTTCAGAACGTACTGGAATTGATTGACAGAGCTGGCACCAAGTGAAGGGGACTGGAGCTGGGACAGCACCAGGCTGGTGGTGCTTTGGTTGCCTACCGGGGTCTGGACTTTGGTTGTGGAAAGCGGGGACGTCTTGGAGAGCTGTTGCTGTAGAGCCGACAGATTCTGGTTGACGCCGGAGTGCTGGAGGTTGACACCGGAGCCCAAAACAGACAGGTTGGCCTGCTGGGGTTGGACTATAATGTTCTGGGTGGGTTGCTGTTGTTGCTGGAGGACTATATTCCCTTGGGGTTGCATCTGCGCCACATTCTGGTTCGCTAGTTGCATTTGTGGACTCAACTGACCGCCTACTCTGACCACCTGTGGGTTCTGTGTTGCGATGATTGCCTGGTTTCCTGTCTGGGGGTTGATTGCCAGCTGGAGTACTTGCCCAGACTGGCCAACCCTTGAGGCTAACTGTGGCTGGATGGTGGTCAGCTGCTGGGGGAGGTGAAGCTGCGTGACACCTCCAAGGTTGATCAACTGTCCAAGTTGTGGGAGCTGTAGAGCTACAACAGAAGGTTTGTTCTGTACCTGGTTAGGCTTGGCAGCCAGGACAATGTTCTGCTGCTGCATCTGGTTCTTCTGCTGGAGTGCCAGAATCTGTGCCGCCACCTGTGGTGAAACACTCGCCTGTTGTCCCATGTTGTTACCTTGTACGGGTGAACCTTGGACTATGGAGTTAAGAAGCTGTGACGCATTCTGCTGGCTGCTTCCAGCACTTAGGGTAATCCGTTGTTGTGAACTGGCTTGGAGGTGGGAGTTGTTGGCTATCTGCTTGACCAACTCTGAAGCTGGGGTGCTGGTGGCCAGGTGTTGACCAGATGTGATAATGCTGTTACTGGTCAAAGACGATGGAGTGGTCGACACGGATGAGTTCAAAAACATGACTTTGAATCCTGGGCTCGTGGTCTGGGTGGCAAGCGAAGAAGAAGAATTAGGTGTGGCGACAATCAGCTGCTGCGCAGGCTGTTGGTGCAGCTGTTGGGTGATGACAATACCGTGCTGTCCGTATGTGGAAGTCTGGTTCCCAGCGGATAAAACAGTGGATGGCTGAAGCTGGGATAGCTGGTTTGTCTGCAGCTGAGTGATGCCGGCCGGCTGCGAGACAGTGTTCAGGATGACATTACCCCCAGTCTGCTGCTGCAGTAGAGCTGACTGGGGAATGACGAGCCCTCGTGAAGTCATAAAACCCTGCACAAACTGCCCTGACCCGCCGCTCTGTGGCGTCACCTTCAGCATGACGTTTTTCATGGACGCCACCGGACTGGCCACCTGCTGTGTGTTTAACCCTGAGCTTACCAGTTTGATTGTCGAGGGGGCCACAGAGTTACTGACAGCTGTTATCACCATATTGTTACTGGCCAGACTGTGGGCTTTGCTGAGTGCATTAATGGACTGCAGCGTTGAGACCTGGGACGTACTTGATGTGAGACTCACTGGGCTCAGGCTGTCACCTGTCTTAGTCTCAGTTGCCACGGGGATCGGTACTTTGGTCGACTGGACAATGGTCGTGCCATTTTTGTTATGAAGAACAGAAGGCAGCGTGTTTGGGGAAGGGACCTTGATGTTGACAGTTGGGACGATGACCTCCGAGGAAGTAGCCGCGGCACGACATTGCATGCCAGTGTCAATGGACAAAGGGTTGGTGTGAGCGTTGAGTATACTTAGCGTGGACAAAGGGAGGGATGAACTGGATATCTCTGACATGCTAGCAAAGTCTGACTCAGTTCTATTGCACTGTAAAGTCCGAATAATTGTTGAGGTGTTAAAGTTCTTGGAGTTCTCTTTGCTTTCCTCACAACTGCTACTCACTGAAATGTCTTGGTTGTCTGCGCTAGTTTTTTCACCTGGTGAAGCTGCTTCTACACCACTACTGGACAGTAAACCACCTGTTTGATTTGGTTCATAGTCTTCATCCCCAATCTTTTTAAACCCTCGGTTTTCTAACAGCGCCTTAACAGTGACATTGCCTGCGTATTTCTTAGCTGGGGAGACGTTCATGAGTGGTACAGTTATAACTTTAGCTCGAGCTGCGTCTCCGGGTGATGCTGAAGCTCCGGCAGTTTGTTGGGGTAAGTTTCCCAGAGACAGTGTTGTCACTGCTTTCGTCACTCGGACAGTAGGCGCAGGGTTGAGGGAACTGATGATCCTGGGTGAGGGCATTGGTTTTTGTGTTGTGGTCATTGAAATGGTGCTGGTAGGTCGGAGGTTAGCAGGTCTCAAACCAAGGTTAGTGAAGTTAGGGGACAGCACAACTTTACCGGCTAAGGAGGTAGCTAAAGGGGCAGCCCTAACAAATGGGGCGTTTGGCTGGGAGACGGAGAGCTCCTGGTTGCCGACAGGTGAGATTTGAGACGAAACAACAGGTGCGGCTACCCTGACGACAGAACTTGTTTGTGTTGTGAATGGCCTGATGACCTGTGCTGGGACCTGACCAGACAATGTCAGCATAGGATTCTGCCTGGTGTTGACTATGATCTGAGGGGCGCTGACGGATGGTTTTTTGTTGATTATGTTAACTATTGATGGCTGGGCTCCTGTGGGGTGGATTATCTTGGCTTGTACAGGAGATAAATTATTAGGAATTCTAACTGGCGCTGCAAGACTGGGTGTCAACGTGGTTGGTAAAGCTCGGGAAGAAGCTAAAGACTGCAGGTTACTCGTTAAGAGTAAAGTAGTAGGGTTGCCCCCGCCTGTGTTGATCTGTATGGCCTGGTTTTTTATCAGCTGTTGTATCTGGGTCATGGACAAGCTGCCGAGGTCCAGGACCTGTTTGCCACCTTGGGTCATGGTCGAGACCTGCGTGACCACCACAGACTGTGGCGCCATCACGTATGATGGCTTAGACGAGGCCAGGGGGTTACCCCCACAAGGAGCAGTTATGACCAAAGAGACTTTAACTGCATTAGGGTTGGGCTGTAAATTTGGCTTGGGGTTTTGTGTCGTCGACATCACAGAGGAAGTGTTTGACGAGAACACAGTGGTTGTGGAAGCCGAGGATGGGGTCGAGGATTGCTGACTGAGCAGCAACTGTTGGATGACTGGGTGAGCAGTTTGAGCTGAGGAGGAGATGACTTTATTCCGAGGGAGAGTCACCACACCCGTAGTGGACAGGAACCTGAAGTTGGACAAGTTCTGGGGTGAGATGACCATGTTTGGTTTGCCTGTGACGCGGATAGTCTTCATTGTGCCATCTGGGCCAGGTGCCATCAGGCTTAAAACCTGGCCAGGGGAAGCCAGATTCTGATTTGCCAGCTGGGCTCTAATAACAGAACTGTTCTGATTTGAGCTGAGCATAGATATTAAGTGTGACTGCCAGGCTTGGGACTTGCTCTGTACCGTAATGGGTTGCTGTTGCAAATGAGCTACAGTAATTGGTACGCAAGCTGCAGTGGTAGCACCAGAGTTGAAAAGACTTTCCTGATTTGGTAAGTTTTTCCTCTTTTTGAGACCAGTGTCTTCAGTGTTATTAGGAATGATGCGCCTTTTCCTCAATCTTCCCCTAGAACTAATATCCAACTCAAAACTGTCATTGCTGTCTTCATTGCCATCCCCTGAGATAGACGACAGCTTGGAAGCTGCGGATGACAGCAGGGCTGCTGTGGCAGCAGCCTGTTTAGCAGAGCTGGCTTTGATTCTCTTGGACTGCCTGGCATTCTCTGCATCAGCCTTGACTGCCTCTTCTTCATCCTCACTGGAATCTTTGCTGCTTTGGGAATGATCGCTGTCCCAGCCTTTTGCCTCCTGCTTGAAAAATATTACAATTTAGTTCCATTTTTACAACAGTTTATAACAAAAGATTTAAAAAGAGAAAACTCCTAAATCAAAAAAACAGACCATAATTTATATAACATGACACATAACACTTAATTGTGTTGGAGGATTTATCCTTCAACATTATAATTAAGAACAAAGAAGAAGAAATGTAGAAATTTACATCTGCTTTTTTGTTTCTAATATTCTAAAAATGAAAAAATTCTTTTAATTGCCTCATGTTAAACAAGAAGAAAATTTTAATAAACTTAATATGTAAAGACAAAGTTTTTTTAATTAAATTGATATGGATATAAGGAATAGAAAAAACAAACCAATATTAGAAACAACTACAACTGATAAACTCTCTCACTGCAGCGACAAATTATGAATTGTTAAACAAATGCAGAAACAGTAACTTACGTCTACTTTAGGCTCAACATAGCTTTCCACTTCTTTGCGCAGTTTGGCCTGCATGCTAACTCTAGCGTTTTGAAGGCTTTTCTCATACTTCAAGAGCTCCTCATAAAATGTAGTAATATTGGCAAGTAGCTCTTCCTCACATGGCTTCATAACTCCAGGGTATGTCTACATCAGCAATAACAAAATCAAATTATCAGAAATATTTGATCCAACTAACTAACAATGCCCCTTATAAAGGTTAACTAACAAAAATAAATTATTTCTCTACAAGTACAGACACAATGCAACAAGAAAAAAGTTATAAGCATGGGAAGTATTAATGATTTATTTACCCTCTTTCCTCGTTTGATGGGTTCAGGGTTGGACAGTTTGTTCATGAGTGCACGGATATCTTCCATACTCTCCGCTGCTAATTCAATTCTTCCAACGTCTGGCAACTACGGAATTTCACAAAATTTTAATCAAAGCATGGAATATCTCAAATAAATCAAGTATGGGCTTAACTATTTCAAAGAAATATAAAGCTAACAGGGTTACAAAGTTTAGATTACTAAACCGGAAGTGTGTCAAGTTTTAAAAGAACCAGATATCCCACTATTTATCCACCAGAACACAAAATAAATGATTAGATCTCTATCTATCCACCAGCCTAACATTAAAATTAATGTAATCAGAACATAAAATAAATGATTAGACCTCTATATATCCACCAGCCTAAAGTTAAAACTAATGTAATCAGAACATAAAACAAATGATTAGACCTACATCTTCCTCATCTGTGTCTTCTTCCTCGACCTCCTCCTCTTTCTTGATCTCTGTTTTCACACTGGACACTTCCACCTTATTCTGATCAAGACTTATTTTTTTAACATCATCACTGTCAGGCTTGATCTCTGCTTTGATGTCCTGTCCATCTCCTGTCTCATTTTTAATCGCATCAAGGGAAGAACATTTAGCCTCAGCAGCTGATTCTGTTTCTGAAGTAGACTGGCTGGCATTTGTTGACGGCTCTTGCTTTAATTTTGAAGTTAAAATTTTTGAGTTGTCCTCTGATTTTATCTTATTCAACACTGAATCAGATTGTTCTCCATTTTTCTTTATCACAGACACACTGTCTCCTGCATTTAGGCTCTCCTTCTCCTCTTCTTTTATTGACTTGTCGCTGTCATATGAAAGATAAGCACTGTCCTGCTGTTTGGATTTCATCTGAGACCCAGTGTCCCCTTTGTTCTGCGCAGAATCATCTGCAATCGAAGAACTGTTTGGAATTTTCTGTGACACATTGGAATTCTGATTATCTGTGTTTGATGAATCTCCATTTGACAGTGGCTTCTCACTGCTTGTGGTCATTGTACTTTGCGGCACATGAGGGTTATCACTGAAGTCTAAACCAGAACCACTCTGGTTAAGAACATCACTAGTGTTAAGTCTACCGTCATCTTCCTCTTCCTCGATCATATCACACGAATCAGTTTTACTCATCGGGGTGCTTTTTTTCAACCGCTTGCGCTTGCTGGAAAACAGGCCTGACCTCTTTCTTTTTTTAACACTGTTCTGTTTACTGCCATTGGTCGAGCTCTCTGCATTGTCAGATGTGGGTGTCTGAAACAGTCGATTTTCTGGTGCCTCGGACCCTGATCTTGAAGTATCTCTCAGTGGTGAAGCATCATTAGATTCAGCCTAAAGAGAAAGATTATTTTTAGCAATGATAGTATTTAACAACTGGTAACAACTGTATAACAACATTCAACCCATGTTACCGCTTTTTTTTTAGTAAGTCTTAAATCTCCGTGCCCCAGTAGACCGATAAATCGGTATCGGTCTGAGACACCTTACCCCAGATCGACAGTCTGTACAAAAAAATGTGAAATTAAAACTATGTTACTTGTACTATTTAACTGGTGGTAGGTATCTGACTTGGCTGAAGTCACAAACAATTTTATTTTGTTTATCATTTACAATTTTTGATGAAAAGAAGATTTGAAAATTTCAATTATCTGCTTTCTACTTACATTATACAATATTCAAATCTTTGGATAGGAAAGCTATCCCGTTACAGCTAAGATTTAAGTTATTTTATAAAAGCTCAACTTACTGCCTGCAACAGTGCCCTTGCTCGAAGTGATGTAGAAGGTGTTTCAGTTGATCGACCGCCTTTAGGGTTGACTGGCGTTGAACAGCGGGAAGATGACGCAGAGAGCTATGAATTAATTAAAGAGACAAATAATTTGAGGAAGATCCTAGTCCTGTTAGTATTACCACAAAACAATTTTATAGCATTTATAAATTGCTAAAATCATACAAATCTACATATTTTTACAATAAGGCTTAAGGTTACTAAACAGTCAGCACTCATAAATAAAATAATTTGTATTGACACAATTATACAAGAAATTTATTTAAAAAAACGGTAACATTTTTAAATATTGAATATTTATCAACTTGTATTCACAGGAAAAAAATATATTACTTTTAACTTTAAACAAATGAATATTTTACTCCACATTTTCATTTTTTTTTAAATTAATTTTTAATTTCAGTAATAAATTTAAAAAATAAATTACTTAAAGAATCAGCACTCATAAATAATAATTTGTATTGACACAATTATACAAGAAATTTATTTTAAAAAAAGGTAACATTTTTAAATATTGAATATTTATCAACTTGTATTCACAGGAAAAAAAAATATATTACTTTTAACTTTAAACAAATGAATATTTTATTCCACATTTTCATTTTTTTTTAAATTAATTTTTTATTTCAGTAATAAATTAAAAAAATAAATGACTTAAACAAGTTACCTTTTCACTCTCCACAGACCAATCAGCCAAGCCAAGGGAATCAATACTGGGCTCTGGAGTCTTTGAGTGCTTGTAAATACGAATATCCTTCCCAGTAAACATTGGGAAATTGATGTATCTGTAGCCTCTACCATCCGACCCTAGCTGGACCTCTCTGACATCTAAAGGCCGAACAGCTTCTATATCATCTATCGTTTTCTGGAGATACTGCTGGGTTTCCTTAAATAGCAAAAATAAGTTGATTACATTTTAAGAAAATTGTGATAGTATTGAGCATAGTAATAAGAAAGCTCTGGGAAAAAAAAAATATGGCTGCAATCAAATATAAAGGTACATGTTTAAAACTGAATTGTTTAAATACAATAATGATGCACATACCATACAGAAATCACAGTAGTTTTTAAGAATCCAAACACGCTTCAAGTAACTAAGCTCATGGAACTTTTTCTTCAACAAAGGATTTGTTTTACCTGCAAAAAAGGAAGGGATAAACTTGATTTGAAGTTTCAGCTTCTACAGGAATAATGTGTAATGAGTTAACAAGGGAAAAATAAATAGCAATAAACTATTATCTGAAATTTCTTACCCATCATTTTGAAAGCACGAGTATCCAAACCAAGTTTATAACAAACCTAAAAATATAATGAAATAAAATATTTTAACAAACCTAAAAAAAAGTTTTTTTTTAAATTATTTTCCAAACTAAACATTCAAATGATGTATGTATGGCCATTTGTACAGAAAAGACTTAAAATGTATTTTTAAAAAATAATCAAAAGGGTTTTACCTGAGTCTGATTGCCTTTCTTTTCAGACAACATTTTATAAAAATAATCTATTTTTAATGTTAGCTTTGAGTTCCAAACATGATAAGGCATAAAACTTTTTAAACTGAAAATAAAAAGAATGCATGCTAGAAATATTTCAGAAATCATACATGAGTATTTTATTTTATATTACTTACAAATTTAAAAAGAGATAAAAAATAATACAAAATTAACTTATTATCCTTAAAACATGTAAACAACCCCATTAATGAGAGTACATTTTTTTAAAAAGTTTACCTCTTTCTTTGATGTGGTGTGGACAACAAACAAGTCATAAGTCTCCTGAAGTCTGAACATTCTCTAGGCATAGCAATGCCTCTTTCCAACTGATATTGCGTAACTTCCTCTTCCAAACCAAGACTCTCCATACATAAATAAACAAACAGTCCAATTTGAGGAAGCTGAAAAGAATATACTATTTTTAGCAAAAATGAACAATTTTAAAAGTAAACTAAAAATTAAATTTTACATAATTATTTCACTTCAAGATTCATGTAGCATTCTTAGTCATTACAACATTAAAATAGCTGAAAATTGCGTTATTTCCCAGAAATTGTTTATATTTTTTTGGCTCAAAAAACAAGTTAATGCAAAAACCTATTAAAGTTTTTTTTTCTCTACTAAAATTATGGCAAAAAATGTATTTTAAGAATGCACATTGACAAGCAATCAAATACCCAATTTTTACCCTAAGATTTTAAATTAAGTCATATCAAGGAACGTTACAAACCTCCCACATAGTTCTAATTTTCTCTTTAACATCAGGCCCCAAAATCTTATCTTCCCATTCTTGGAGATCCTGTACTCGGGCTTGTTCCATTGCTTTTCTGTCTTCGACTTTTTGTTTTCTGTCAACTTTCTCCTGCATCTCCCGATCTCTGCGCAGCTTAGAGAGGAGTTGCTGAGATGGGTCGTCGGATGACAGATTGGGATTTCTAACTCTCCTTCGAATGCCTGCTAGAAGTACATGTTGAAAAAAATTCAAGACAAATCAAATAATGATAAAATGTATCAATAAATAAACACATACGTAAATATATTAAAATTGTATTCTATGCAGAAAACATGATAATTTTTAATAAAGTAAACTACAGCACAACCATTAATCACCAATACAGATATTAATATATATATAATTAAATACACTAAACAACTATACATTATTAAACCTGAGTTAAATGGCTCAAGTGTTCTAACCTTGACTATTATTTATTTTAAATAAGTCTAAAAACTATAAGTATCTATTCAGAAAAACAGTATACCTGATGTCAGCATTTCATCATCAACATTAGAGGCACCCATAATTTTATCCCTCAAATCTCTGGGGAAAGGTTTAGAAATAATAAATATAATGTAGTAATACTGGAATATGGGCATCTACAAGATTAACTAGGAATTGAGAAATTTCACGTACACATTAAATTTTGATTTTTTTTTGTAGTAGGCCTACATCCAAAATTACTTATAATTACAAGTATTGTAAAAATTTAATTAGGCCTACATACTGAAATTATAAAACATGTATATCTGCATTAATTTATTACAAACCACAATACTCTAGTGGTAAAGATATCACACTTGCATATTTTATCAATGTGAAGTTAAAGTTAATACCTTGATAATAAAGCAACTTTTTGCTTCATCATTGTTTCGAGTTTCTGAGCTTTTTTGGAAACAAAGTTGTCTGGTCCATTGTAACGATAACAATTCTCAATCATCAAACGAAAATCAGCCATGAAGTCAGTCAAATCATTATATTCATGGTTTTCAAACTTTTCTTTCACTAAAAAAAAGCAAAAAATGTTAAAATTTACTTAGGCATAAGTAATAATAGGTTAAAATGTATAAAATGTTAGGCTACAATATAAACAATAAATTACTGCCTTCTTGTACAGAGACCACAATATAAAATAATTAAACACAACCTGAATAAGATATTAGGGCAAGTTAGTTCCACCATAAAGGATATGCACAATATATATTACAAAGGTAAAGATTAGTGTAGGCCTACCAAAACTGACATTGGCAAAAATATAAGCTGACAGTGAAATTTTAAAAAAATGTTTTTAGAATTATAAAGTTTAAAAAAAGGCTAATTTAAATGATTGAAATGGTTCATGATTTCTCCTTAAATGCTAGGGATGTTAGTTGTACCAGTGTCAGATTACTGCTTATTCTGTAGAAAGGCTGACCTTGGTATGTAAAGGAATAGTGCATTAGAGCTGGGTGAACTCAACAATGCCCTACAGACACAAGTACTGAACTAAAGCAGAAGTTCAGGTTAATAATTGTATATTGTACTGTTTGACTACCCATCTCAAAACCTTGAATTTGTACTAACGCATAGTCTGATTACACTACACTCTCATTCACCATAAGAGCACACCTAGATATATGATACATGTGGACATTGTGAAGAAATCATCCAGACATTCCAGACTGTCAGTACCCATTACAATACTGCATAGGCTACTTAAATCATGATTGAACTTCATTAAATTAAAGGTAAAAATTATTAATTAGAACTAGCCTACTTAATATTATTTGGGGACATATGTCTACATTATAGAGAAATGAGCCATTTAACTGTCATGTATAGGCCTAATCTAGATGACTATATTAATAATTAAAGGCCTAGGCCTATTTATTATTTAATGGACTTACTTTTAAACATCCACATAGGTTCTTTGATTTTCTCATAATAATCTGAAGTTTCTGGGTAACTGTCATCAACAGGATAAAGAAAAAGTTTGTTGACACATCTGTTGCTAGCACTCATCATATTGCTCAGAATTCTATATCCAACTTGAAGTTCATAGCTAAGTGATTCAACGTTGAACTTTTCTTTCTCTGTGGTTTTCACTTGGTGAGTGCCAGTTCTTACTTCAGTTGCTTGGTGAACCAAGTTACCTTCTTGATCAATCTCAAATGAATATGCGTGATCAGATGAAGACACCACTGTGTCCCCAACATCGTATTCTTCATACACAATATCGTGAACATCTGTGTTTATCGCTGTGTTACCTTCAATCACCCCCGCCCCCATGTTTTCCATGTGCTCTGGCCCAGCCCCCTCAAAATCATTCTGCTCATTGTTTACAAACGTAACACCGTTTGTATCTTCAACATACTTTTCATCCTCATGTTCATAAGTCTCTTCTGTTGCCAGTGCATCGACTGAATCACTTAAAATATACTGTTGTTCCATTTTGTTTAAGTGATTGTAGATCTAAACCTAATAGCTAATTATTTAGTGTGAACTTTTAAAAACAACAATTCAGAATAAGTTCAAATCTTACTTTCAATATCTACGAAGCTATGGTAAAAAAAAAAGGGCCAAATAAAATTAGAACAAAAGTTAGCACATTCTCTAAATACGTGAAGAACCTTGTCGTTTTACATGTTTGTCTTTTTAAAAATAATCACAAACCATTCTGGTTAAATGAACTACGTCAGTTTTAAAAACGACTGTTCAAGCTGTTCATCTTTTAAGAACTACACGCATACTGTGTTCTTGCATTTTTTTCTGGGATGACAAACACACGATTTCCTAAACATCTTTCCACCTGTAAAAAGATTCTGACTAGTGAGAGCTGCATTGTGGGAATTGGGTTGTGCGCATTTATCTTGGTCAGTTACACTCACTGTCAAACTAAATAAAGTATGATATGCCTAAATTCTTTGTTACATACCACTCCTAACTATCTTTAACTTAAAAAGAAAATGTATTTTCAATTGAATAATCATTAAATTAGTTTTAAAACAAATTACAATACTTCAGGCGGATGAAGTTATGCAAATTAAATGTGATCAGGTTGTCTCGTTTTCGCAACACTGTCCTAGATATTTTTTACTCTGATTATTCCGATGTGTAAAATTGTCTTGTCCTATTTCTTTTTAATTTAACTATCAATGTTAGAATATCATTATAATTGCTTTAATTAATGAGAAAAAATATCATACTTAGAAATTCACTTTACTCAACCGTGGCGTTTTGCCCGTATGAAAACATGTATAAAATGATATAGAGAGTATAAAATTATATAGGGCCTACATTTTCAAAAAATGCCTTTGGAGAGCAGCTATACTTTATTCTGTATCAACTTTATCTAGTAGACCCTACATTTAAAAACCAACTTATATATATATATATATATATATATATATATATATATATATATATATATACCTATATGATGTAATAACGGGATAAAAATTTAGCAAAACTATAACTATAATCGATCATTGATATCTTTTAACAATGGAAAAATTTTAATATTTCCTTACCCATTCTAAGTTTTCATAGCTGTATTTTAACTTTATTAATTGACACATTAAATTTAAATTAAATCAATTTATTTTAAAACAGGTTTTGATGTCTTTGTACATTTGTAACATAGCCTACGTACTACATTTTTAGGCCTACTTGTCTCAAAACCAAGAATACTCGATTCCAATTTTAAATTATAGCATAGAAACGATTAGGCCCTATTATTTTAATTACTTCGCGTTTGCATCTCTACTTTAAAAAAAATGTAGTAGCCTTAATTAACCCCTAACAACATGTAACCCTCACTCAGTGGGGGATGCTTTTACCCACTGAGGTGTTGTGGTTAAGACGGGCTGACCCTGAGATTTAGGACACACTGACACCGACAGTTGTTGTCAAGTACTGACTCTATTCACTACATCTAGCCATGACGGCGATGCAGAACACAGTAGTATGACGATTACAGATGAATACCAAACGAAAAGAAGTTAAAAGTTTATCTTTTCTATACAAATTCTACTTCGTTCGGGGGGTGGTAGACTTCAGGGGAGCTTTCTGTGAGAAAGTGTGAGGATGGGGATGGAGAAAGATAGGCCAATAACGCAATAAGTCGTTTAAGGATAGGCCTAGAAAATACTCAATTTACCTAAAGATTGAGATATTTAACTTTATATTTATAAAAAGACATCCCATGTTGGCTTAGATAATATACCATACTTAATTTTAAATACTCATGTTCATTCTTATTAGTATGTTAAAATACTGAGAATTAATTAATGAATTATATTAATAAGCACTATCACAACCAGTTTCCAATTTTAAAATAAAAGCTGGACAGGATTTTATACTAATATTTGATTTTTCTAAGTAAAAATCTATAGCCAGTTCAATATTAATACACTTACATATTTTAACATTAAAATATAATTAATCTTAAGGAAATTAAAGTGTTTGTTATTTTATTTAAATAGCAAAAGGCGGACCAAAATGAAAAAAAAAATAAAAGAACATGTCCGTTTATTTTGGATCGGAAGTTTCGTTTTCAAAGATGGAGAATACATGGGACATTACGTTGTTTATGATTTTCCTTACACTAATATCTAGGTGTAAATGTTCAGAGATAGATCTTACTGTTGACATTGCACCGGGGCGTCAAGAATGTTTTTGGCAAAATGTTCCTGAAAAAACCAACGTTGAAGTAGATTATCAGGTGGGTTTTCTATAAATTTTAAAATAGGGCGTCAAGTCACAGAGAAGTTGCTATTTCTAGAACCAGAGACTCAGTCAGAACAACGGTAAAGTAACCAGAGAAAGGTTACTCTCACTGCCTTTACTCAGCTTTACTGGGCTTAGTGACTTCTAACTCATTAGTGTAGTTATATCTAGAACCAGAATCTAGGTTTACTTATGTTATTGTTAGAAGGTATACTACAATTCTAGATTTAGAGTGAGCCATTACTAGGGTTGTCGGCATCCGCCGAGTTCGCGGTAAAAACATGACCCGAAATCGCCCATTACTTTCTGATACCGGACACACGAGATTTGGTTTTGCATACTAATAAGTTTTTAATTTATGGTAATTAATTAAGTTTAAAAGGTCATTTCCTAAGGTTAATTAAAAAGTAGAGTGGTTGTCCCTTAGTTTTAATGGCTTTGCGACCTGATTGCATGCTGTCTCTGCTTTGGTCTTCCCTCTGTATCAAGGTTAGTTTCAAATACGTTGGAATCTCGATTTTTTAAAAGATTCCTCTAGATGAGAGTAGATTACTGATCAGACATATCTTAAGTAATTGGAAATGAAATTTGTTTTTGGATATTTTGACTCCGACATTAGTTATACCCCTCCGAACGTAGTCACTGTATGTAGGTCACGCTGCCACCATTGTTATATTTTTTCATCCCGATCTTCCTGCTTTAAGTTTGATCAACTAATAACAGCATTCTTATGGCATGTGCAAACAAATCTAATTTTTTATTTCAAAATATATTTACATACCCATCTTTAATTTTTTCAGCTCTAGTTCTAGTTTTGCAGAATGTTTTTCCTAAAAATCCAATTTTGTCAGACTAGACTCTAGACTGACAAGAGTCAGACCTAGATCTAGGTTACCTGTCTGTTGCTATACACTAGCATTGTGCTAACTGTAATTTTAAGTATTCAAGTTCTACTTACCCTTAGATATAGTTATATGCTGAAAATCAGAATCCATACACAATTCACACATAAAAACATTGATCTGATAACTTCATTTCACTTATTACAAAATGGCTTTTATATGGACTCTACTTCACCTGCCCAAAATAACAAGGCAGTTATAGACACATTACAGTGTTCAAGTCATTTACTTTAGATTTCTGACTATGGAGTTCTTTCATTCACTGTATTTATATAAAATATTGCTTTAGAAACATTTTCATATTTGCGCAGCAGTTTTATAACATAATGGCTTAAAGATGGACTCTACTTCACCTGCCCAAAATAATGAGGCAATTATATGCACATAACAGTGTTCAAGTCATTTACTTTAGATTTCAAACTTTGTAGTTCTTTCATTTGCTGTATTTATATAAAATATGGCTTTAGAAACATTTTCATATTTGCGCAGCACACAGTTTTTTGGGGTTATGGGAGGAAGCCAACACAAAAATATAAGTTCTGTATTATTTTTATTCATTTCAACAACATTTACAAGTTCTATATATCATTCTAGCTAAACTCTGCAAATATGAACAAAATACAAATGCAATTAAAATAACTATGCTCAATTTATTCAGGTATACCATGACTTGTCACAATTGGCCAATGCAAAAGTAAGGGGATTCCACCCCTCACAAAAAAATTCGCAAAAAAAAAACTATTTGAGCTAGACAAAAAATCTTTTTTGTTTTGTTTTCATTTTGTTGAGCTCTACAAGAATATGTAATTTTTATTTTTATATGATGATTAGTGCTTTTTTACCAAAATCCCTACCATTACCTTTTTACTTTTTAGTTCTTAGGGGTCATCCATAAATGATGTCACACTCGTAGGGGGGAGGGGGTCCGTAATTTTGTTATGGTGTGTGATGAGGGAGAGGGAGGGGGGGTTCAGATGGTGCGCGACGTCAAACTTTTGCATTGTATAAAAGCTATGTTAATAGTATGTTAGAAAACAAATTGTAGACGTTATTTCGCGTTTTAGAAAACTGCTTTAATAAATTATAATAGTAATAGAAATTGAATAAAATACTCTATTTTGACAGAGTTCAGACAAGATTTTAGAAAAATATCGATGTTTTGGTAAAAATTTAGAGAAAACCCTTGATATTTCATAGTATCCGCCGCCAACCAATCAAACGCGCGCTTTCAACGCGTTTTGGTTGGCGGCTGACGTCACGATGACGTCACGCGACCCGTAAACACGGCGTTTTTGGAGCTAAAAAGGGCCGAAAAAGCCATTTTTTCTACGTGTAGTTCGGATTTTTTTACGTTTTTTAAAATGGGCCCGAAAATGACCCTTTTTAGAAATGGACATAGCCATTTTTTCGAAGAATTAATTAAAAAAAGGGCCGTTTTGAGCTATGTTTCGATGTAAACAAAGGCCCATGGCGACACGTGTTAAACCACGTGAAGGCACCCGATCGACGATTTCGGTCACGCATGAGTGGTTTTCGTACGTTCTCGTGAACTAAATACCAGTTTCTTGACAACAAATTGGAAAACGACAATTTCGTGAAAATAACGACCCTAGAGAAATGGCTTTTGGAGATTATTGAATAAAAATCGATGTATTGGCTACATATGTTGATTCTAAAGTTGTCTATAATTGACTAGAGTAGTAGGGCATGCTGAAACAACGGCCTTAGGGCGCCGTGTAGTGTGTAGTTTCGCTAAATGTAAATTAATCAGCCCGGCCGCAGATCGACAGCAAACTGTTAAATTGGTTGAACGTGAAAAACTACTTACAAATTACTTTTGAATATTCACATCACACAAAATCCCAAAGAAAGCACAAAATAAAATCCGTTAGAAAAACATCACCATGAAATTTGAAAACCACGTTTGTCAACCTTAATCAGCCATCTTTGGCTCGATCTAGAGGTCATTCTTTAGCCTACACATGTGTCTTGTCAACCAATTTAGTTTCTGATTGTACACAACATTTAGGTCAATATATTAATTAACAAACTAACTGAATTCAAACTTTCTATCACTCTAATCCTAAAATGAAACAGAATTTGAAGCACAATGATCTAACAAATAAATCCCACTCTAAGTGTCGCAGCTTTAATCCTGGATAGAACCATAGTGTGTAGTCGTGTTGTGAGTAAACTTGCACGAGATAAAACACCGACCTAGACCTTCCTGATGTGTATGGCCCCAAAGTTAAATGCTGGGAGTAGGGGAGGGGAATTTAACACCAGAATAGATTTTTTTTTCATCAGTAGTTCACGCATCCTAACGGGGTTGAAAGTGTAACTTTATATTCAACTAGGCAAAAGGTGGAGGGGTGGGGTCATTTAAACGACGGAGCTATATTTCTAGTCGAAGAATACGGTGAAGCCGGAATTTGAAGCCGGCATTTCATTATTGTCATTGCTATCGAGTACAACCCTTTATTCTAGATTAATGCACGACTAGGCTACTCATTACGAAATCTAAAAAAATTTTGTGCTACCATGCAAAAGTAGCCTAATATTTCTACTGAATGGGGTAGGTATTTGACTTTGTTTATTTAAATGCAGATCCCATTAGCCTAAACATATTTTGATGCACATTTTAGTTATATCGTAAGGATTAATTTTATAATACAATGCATATATTCTGGCAGTCCTTCAAGTATTAGTAGTTATTGCCTATTGGACTATCCATAACTTGTATTTCAAAGATTTATAATGAGCGGGATGCACTCGATGTTTTAAGTGCTACATTCGGTAGCTGTTACTTTGTGCATGACAGCATCCCAATAGTTCACTGTTAATAATGTAAACTGAGCTTAACGAGACTCCCATCGCCAAGCTATCGTATGATAGACCCAGCAAGCATCACTCGTTAAATTCGACATCATGGCTATACCAGTCCTTGATTTTCATTACTGCCTTGAAACGCCTAGTTCTTGGTTTAAAAAAAAAACGTCTTCCCCCCCCCCCCCACCCCCACCCCTTCCCGCTTGCGCCGACGTCATCATGGGCCAATACCACGGTGCATTTTTTTTCACCGAGTATAACACACACCTCTCTCCTCCTCACAGCAAGCGCCAACAACGGTCACCCAAGGCCAATAACACGCACCATGGTGGATTATTTTTTTCTAATGAGTATCTACCCACCCGCCGCCTTACAGCATACCGCTAGTCTTTACAAACGGAGTTAAAAGTTTAACTTTGAGTTCAAGAAGGGGGGAGGGTGGTATTGAAACAACGATGTTCTTTAATATGTTTAATAGTACAAATACAAAATAAATACATAGTAAAAAATTATACTTACCTACTGCTATAGCATCATACATAATTTTATAAATTAGCAAATTAATTAATTAATTAAATATATCTAATGATAATGAAGGGAGATAGTTTATTTTGGTTAAGGCACGACACACAACACTATGCGTGCGTGGTATGTGGCCTGACCGACCGAAAGGAGATTGTTTATATTATTGTTTTGAGTTTATATTTAACTCAATGCAACGAGCCCGCCGGTTGGTTGAGGCCACGCCGGGGGGACGATCTGTCCGGGATTCAAAGGGTCGATTCTAAATATCATCCCGATGTTTTAAAAAAAATTCAACTGCAATTTTGAGGGAGGGGTTAAAGGTCGAGGTGTGAAGTCATTTTAGGAGGGGGGTCTGGCTTTTTGTGATGACGTGTGTCAGAGGGGAGGGGGGGGAGGTAAAAATCATCAAAAAAAGCGTGACGTCATTTACACTGTGGTTACATTTGCGACACATAGACTTTATAGTCTATATATAGACTTTAGACCATAGGCATCTGAAAAAAATAACTTTGCCACAAGTTAATTTTACCAGAACATATAAATATATGGGAGGGAGGGGGGAGGTTAGAGTCACTTATTGCGAATTTTTTTTTTCTAAACATCTAGGCCTACTGTATACATGTCACAAGTGTAAATGTGGTATTAGTAAGTTAGTAGGCATTTTTGTAAATTTAGCCTAATTACTAAAAATCACAGAATGATAAATATAAAGTGCACATACTCATAGTTAAGTCTCACAGAGATCTAGCATTTGCTTCATAGAACAATTGATCTTTTCTGAGTCTCTTTCAGCCTACCTACTTGGAATACTTTTCTATTTGGTGGTGATGTTGCTCTAAATCTAATCTGTGTCAAATCCATCCTCATTTGTGCTTTTGTATTACTTTGCCAACAGGGTCTTGTCCAGTTTTTCTCCACAGTTCGGCATTGATAATCTTTAGGCCACTTGATGTTCAATAATATGTGACGCAGGCATCGGTTAATGAAAGTCTGAAGTTTGACATTATTTGTGTTACTCTTCACATTTCAAAACCATAGAGGAGAACAGATTTCATATTGCTGTTCAACAGCTGTATAAAGCATAGACAGTGCTCTTGATGTCCAGGTTGTGCAGAAGGTTTTGAAATATGTACCTGGCTTTGCTCAGTTACTGCTGCCCCCATCCTTGCTTACTACACTTCCTAGATATGTCAAGCGAACCACCCCTTAAATAGTAATTTCTTGTATCTTAAGTGAGAGCTTCTGTTTGTTGTTATTCTCATCACCTCTGGGATTTTTCTAGTGGATCTTTAAGCCTGTCTTGTACTTCTTCATAGAGTTTGCTTAGCTTGGACTAGGCATACTGTTGTTGATGTGAGAGGAGGCTGATTTCATCCACAATATCTAGGTCCTCCTGCTGTTTAGTGATCTAGTCACATTTCCAGACTAGTTAAGAGTATTACTAAAACAATGTGAAAATACTATTATACTATCTTAGTCAGTCTTAGTGCTAAGAAGTTCTACTCTACTACTGCCAAATGAGAATGACACAGACATGAATGACACAATCATGCAACATGGGAATGACACAATCATGTGACATGAGAATGGTACAGATATGAATGACACAATCATGCGACATGAGAACGACCCTGACATGAATGACAATCATGCGACATGAGAATGACACAGACAGGAATGACACAATCATGCGACATGAGAACGACCCTGACATGAATGACAATCATGCGACATGAGAATGACACAGACAGGAATGACACAATCATGCGACATGAGAACGACCCTGACATGAATGACAATCATGCGACATGAGAATGACACAGACAGGAATGACACAATCATGCGACATGAGAATGACACAGACAGGAATGACACAATCAGGCGACATGAGAACGACACAGACATGAATGACATAATCATGCGACATGAGAATGACACAGACATGAATGACATAATCATGCGACATGAGAACGACACAGACATGAATGACACAATCATGCGACATGAGAATGACACAGACAGGAATGACACAATCAGGCGACATGAGAACGACACAGACATGAATGACATAATCATGCGACATGAGAATGACACAGACAGGAATGACATAATCATGCGACATGAGAACGACAGACATGAATGACACACAATCACGGGATGAACCTGCCGTCATCAACTAACTACATTTTTTAAAAACTTTTTTCTCCCTTTCTTTAACTATTCCAAATTCCAATGGAAAAAATAGATCTTTGTCTATATCGCATGTTATTTACCATAATTTCCAATGATTAAGCCTAATTAGCATAACTAATACCAATAGTATTATTATAATATTGTAACTGGGTTATTTCAGTCCCTAAATTGGTGAAGGGGTATAATTTCGTCATCATAAATCATACTTTTCGTTTTTATTGTTTCAGGTAATAGATGGTGGTGACCTAGATATTGATGCCATGGTATATGGCCCAGATAATAGAGTTTTTCATGTTGATCAAAGAAAACAAGAAAATACTATGAGGTATTATCATTAAAAATTGTAATTATGCAGCTAAGTCAACAATGCTATTGCCAAATATGTCCTTTGTGAAAAAAAAAATGTTTATATAGTTAGGAGGTTCCACACTTTACTGAAGGGCTGATTGTTAACCAAGCCATATTTTTAAATCTTCATGATAAAAGAATTGTTTATCTTGATAGAAATGTTTTTAAGATAATTATTAATATGTGCAAACTGTATTAAACAACCTATCTACAATTGTGTAAATTTTTAAAATATTTTTTTTGCAGGTTTGAGTCAAGTATATCAGGAGATTATAAATTTTGTTTTGACAATACATTTAGCACTATATCTAACAAAGTAGTTTTCTTTGAAATCTTTGTTGAGGATGGTAAAGATGATGACGACGATGATGATGATGATGACAAATTGACCTTTGAAGGAGAAAATATACAAGACCAACTAGACATGACTGTTGAGGAGTTCACTGTATGTATCAAATAAAGTGGCTTATTTATTTCTAATAACTTTTTTAGAAAATTATTTTTTTTTAAGTTTTATAGATCATTTTCAACAACAACAAAATATAATAATGGAAATTTTTTATGAAAATAGAAATCCCCATTGAGAGATGTAGCCTTTGCAATTTTTTAATGAAATCTACTTTTTCTTTTTGTGGAAAATTGTCCACCTTCCAAATTTTCCAGTTAAAAAGGGGAAACTTTTGAGGCTAACCATTCTCAATTAAATCTTGTCACGAAATTAAAAAGAAACAGCAAATTTATCTGTAGGATTTTATGTATAAAATCTAAATTTGCAGAGACATACAACAATGTGTAGTAAAAATTTCCCAATGTTCTGTGTTAAAATAGTTGTCTCTGTGTTTATTGTAGCTTTGTTCATATTTCGCAAATTGTAACTGCTTAACAACTACCTATTATTAGCTTGTTTTGTTGAAACAAAAACCTATGAAATTAATAGTTTATAAAAAAAATATTAATTTTTTTTCCAGAACATTCTTGACAGATCAAAGAAACATCTGGATCGTTCAATTCAGGTCCAGACGTTAATTAAAATTCACGAGGCCAAAGATAGGAACACCCAGGAAGCCAACTTTTTCCGTGTCAATTTTTTCTCACTCGTTCAGCTGACCTTGATGATCTTTGTGGGGCTGGTGCAGGTGCTAGTTATCCGCAGCCTGTTTTCTTATCAGCAGCCAGTGAGTGGTGGGACACTGAAAGCAAGGACATAGCTGTAGCTCATCCTAGTAAATTATTTTTGTGGTTAATTCTATAGTAGTATCCATACAACTTCTTTGTTGAAATTAACCATTTTTGCTCTCTTTGAGAGGTTTTGTCATACTTAATTTATATAAATTTTTATCTTTTTGTTGCCACATTAAAATTATGTTTCCTCGTTTGTGGAGGGGGGGGGGGGGGGGGGAGTTATTAGCTTTAAACAGTATCTTGCAAGAATTCTTTAAGAAATGTTAGTAATAATATTAAAAACATTTTTTTGTTTTTGTCAGTACTACTACTAGTATTATATTGAATGATCAATATTATGTATATTAGTCTTCACTGGCATTTAATTTTTTTTAAATGTTTCATTTTTCTATAATTTAATATGACATTTGAATTAACTTATATTAAATGTTATATTTAAATTAATCTTTTTTATTAGACAGCTTGAGAGAATAAATGTTTCTTTAATGTTTTCAAAGTATACTTGGACTTAAAGTGGATTCTTCTTTTTTCATTATTTACAAACCATTTTTGAGTAAAATCAAACTTTCATAATAGATAGCTCATCAAATATTTCTCAGCCCTAAAACTGCCCCAAGATGTTTGTTTCTTTATGTAAAATCATAGTTTTTACTCAGACTAAAATATTTGGAATACTTCTTTTAGCCACATTATTACACAATATTGCCAATTATCTATATTACGAGAAAAATGGCCCGTTGAGGAAGGGTACAACGGGCGCTAGGCTGATAGTGCTGTCTCTTTTCTCTAAACTAAAACCAACCCACCCCCCCACACACCAACCCACCCCCACCCCCCCCCCCCCCCGACCCCCAGACACCACCCCCACCCCCCACCACACACCACCCCCCACCCCCACACACCATCCCCACCCCCCACCCCCACCCCCCACACACACCACCCCCTCCACACACCGCCCCCCCACCCCCCACCCCACCCCCACCCCTCCAACCCCCCCCCCCTCCACCGCCCCCCCCCCCCCCCCCCCCCCCCCAAAAAAAAACCATGTCTACCGTCCCATTCAACGAAATATAATTATATACTTTTTCCAGTGTCCGCCCCCTCCCAGAAAATTCTACCCCCGCCCCCCGAAAATTTCAAGTACCCTCACCCCTCTCCGGGGAGGAAAAAGTCTGAAAGAAACACTGAAACCAACCCACCCCCACACACCACCCCCACCCCCCACACACCACCCCCACACCCCCCCCCCCCACACACACCACCCCCCCACCCCCCCACACACCACCCCCACACCCCCCCCCCACACACACCACCCCCCCCCCCCCCCCACCCCCACCCCCCCACCAAGAAAAAAAAAACATGTCTACCGTCCCATTGCAAGAAAACCACTTTTTAGATTAGACACATTAATTTTATTATAGAGTATCGATGAGGAAATTTCTTTTGAGTTGGGGAGGGGGAGGGGCTCAGACGTTCTTACACGGGGGGTGGGGCTTCGCCCCTACCCGAAGAATTGTATGCAAGAAACTCTTCACGCAAACCACTTAGATTAGACCAAATTGCCTTTGTATTGAATGTTTACACGATAATCAATGACGTCATATAACTGTGTGCACTCTCTGGGTTTGAGATTATTTTCTACTCTGTGCGCTAAATGTGTCGACGTCATACTTCGTTTTTCGAATTACTATGCATGTTTTTAAATTGCTTGTCTTTTCTCTAGAGCGTTCTTGTCAGACAGATAGATAGATAGATAGATAGATAGACAGACAGCGAAACTATTAGTATTAATTTTTTGCCTGCTCTTATTTTGTTCCTTATAAAGAGCAAAAGCTAATAGTTGACTAACTTCTTCTATTTAAACATTTTTTTTTTTACAAATGACTCTTTAAAATTATCCAATACCCTTAGATAAATTATCTTACCAACACATACAGAGGTGAGACGTTACATATTTTAAAGTGCTCAACAAAGAATTGGTGAGGATGCACTTGTCTCATTATCTTTTTTTTACTACAACGCATTAGTTATTAGTCTACAATCTTTATGTGTGCAGTGTCTTTTTATTTAAAAAAAACAAACACCATGCTATTGCGAACAAAGACTTGTGCATAATATTGCTGAACAATTGTATGTAATATATAATTGTGCATTATCAACATAACACTGTTTTTTCTACTATAGTATCTTTTATTGAAAGTTGAAATATTGCCTGTAGTGTACTTACAACGTAAACATCGTAACAAAAATAATGTGTTCATACATAATTCTACAAAGTCTCTTCAACTTCTAATCAAAAGCAAACTTATTTGAATTACAATAGATTTATACTTTCTCCTATATATAATGTTTAATTCCTAAAGCCTAAAACAAATTATTGATATACATTGTTTTATTTAACCAACATTTTGCTTTTATTATAGTGGGTTTCATTAAATTTTTTACTTTTGTAATTTCATTTTTTTTCTTATTGGTAAAAATTGAATGGGTTTAAAGCAGATTTACTTTTTAAAATACCGATATCTGTTTGTTTTTTCCCGCCTCTAAAATTTGAGCTTTGGCTTATGATTAACCATTAGCTTCTCTTCCATTAACTTTGATGACTCTGGCTGTTTTATTCTTTCATGTTTTCATATGTGTTCTCCCAAGAGTAAAGAAATTGTTATTGTTTTACCCATATGTTCTATTGACCTCTTCACCTTTGGAAACTGTTACTATGTTACATGCAAGCACCTCTTAATTAAAACTGTATGTATATAGGCTGTTTAAAGCAAGGTAATCGTAAATATAATCAAAATGTTCTTACTCGACAAATTAAAATTGCTGTTGTCTTTCAGTTTTAAAATGTATGAACTAATTTTGTCATCGGTTTTAGTTTATTATTTATATATCTCTTTTATCACAACTGTACAGCCTGTTTTTTTTTTCTTTGAATGACTTATCAAAACATATCAGTCAAAGACTGTTTGTACTCATGTGTAGCAAACTCACTTGTAAATGTTTGCCATTGCATGAATTTAATGTGTTTTGACACCTGATATAAGTGACCTTACTAATAAACAGCAGCTATATATTAGTATATTAGCTACTTTTCCTTTGGTGCTGCATGGAGTTGTAAAGCCTTCTTAAATTTTGTACTTGTGCTATGTAGTGTATAGATCAGTAGCTTTCAGTATAACTGAAAAATCCAGTTTTTTCAATGTCCTGATGTATGCTGTGTTCCCTGTATGTCATAACGTAATTTTGTTTTGTTTCTTATAGCGTATATGGGATGAACATACTGAATCTGCAGTATCCACTTTTATGTTGTTTTTATTTTGCCACTGTTGAAAGCATAAAAGTAAAAGGTTTTTATAAATTAATTACCTTTTTGTTTCAAGCCTCTGGGTTGATTAATATGAAAATATTTTGTAATTAGTCTGCCAGCTTCTGTGCCATTTAAAGTCCCCAATATGTATTATGGATTATTAGAAAGTGAAGTGTCACATACTTTTAACAGTGTAGTATGAATATGTAAGAATGTACATTTTTTTCTGAGATGTATTATATGATTTTTTTTTAAAACAAATACTACCTGTTAATTGAAAACTACCTATGCAAACAAATGTATATCAATGAACAAATAACATTGTATTAGTGTTAGTTCACTTTATATTTTTAATAATTTTTTTTAAGATACAAATTTTAATTTTTTTAGCCTGAGTTAGATATAGACATGTGGGACTGTATTATGCCAAACACGTTTATTTTGTTTTCTGCAGTATTAATAAAAACATTTTGTGGTAAAATGATCTGGTGTTAAGGCCTTGTCATGGAATTTTTTTTAAGTGTTGTGCTATAAGCATTAACAGGCTGTATTAGATTAAGCTATGGATTTCATTGCTGCATCCTACTTATCCACCCCTACCTATTATCACCTTTCACTTTCAATAAACCACGTTACATGATATAATTTTATTGAGTATTATTGTATACATTTACAATATAATACTCTTATTTACTTACTTAAAATTTAAACCATCCTAAAATATATGGATCTAGTTTGGAGTGTCACCCAGAGAACAAGTTTACTCTCATAATAAACATTTCTGTGAAAACATTTGTATAAATAGATCTAGGCCTTTAATACGTACATAACTAAAGTTAAAGGGCCATTATTATTTACTAGAACAGTATTTTTTTTTAAAATTGCCCCTTTGTTTGCTTTTTTTCCCTTTAACTTTGCATAATTATATGTCATCATTTTATAAGAGACAACAAAGAGTTAAAAAGACAATGTGCTTCCCTTTTTTGTTTTGGTCCTACGCTTATGTTGGTTTTGACGATGGAGTTTTCTAGTTATACTTATACCGTACTGATGTTGCGAGTTGCTATGTCTTTGGTTCACAGGCGTAGCGATTGGGGGGCAGGGGGGGGGGGACATATGTCCCCGGGCGCCGACCTTTAGGGGCGCCAAAATGGGTTAGAAAAAGTAATCGAAAGTTTGGGGGGGGGGTGCAAATCGAAAGTTTGTCCCCGGGCGCCGGGAAGGGTCGCTACGCCTCTGCTTTGGTTGCTTGTGATATTGGAACTTCCGAGTGAGATCTAGTTGTTAGTCCAAGGCCGAGTGGATGAGCATCGTTGGCAGGCTTGACTTCGTGCTGGAATTGCTATTAGAATGTTTATTTGTTTTAATTATAGTCGGGCTTTATGTAGGGTGGCATGCTTGCTGTCTTGTCTAACAAGATTGTGAATCAGCGATTGTTGGTGTCGGTGATTATGTCTATAGCTCAGTGGCGTCGCTAGGTCGGGTGTCACCCGGTGCGGCACCTCGTGGTGTCACCCCCCACCCTCCCGTTTTTTTTATTCCTCTGTAAAATTTGCAGTTGTTGTCAGCACCACACCTCTCCCCCCCCCCCCCCTGGTAAAAGCTTTAAAGTGTTCACATTTGATATTAATGATGTTTACCTATAGTCGGTTGTTAAAACATTATTTTTTCTAGTTTGCATGTTTATATCATGGTGCCACACCCCCCACTAAACTAACGTATAGTTTATGTCATCCAGTGTAGGCGATGCAACATCTTTTATACTGGACAAAAGGGGAAACGATTGTCTGACAGGGTTAGCCAACACATGCGTTCAATAAAAAAACGAAGACAGTCTTCCTGTGGCCAAACACTTTCACAAGAGTGGACATGACAACGACTTTTGTGTAACCGCTGTTCGGTTTTGCCATAATTTTAAAAACCGCCTAAACACGGAAACGCGACTTATACTTAATTTGGCACACACAGCACCGGATAGTTTAAACGAACAGGTATCTTTTACCTACCCCCCCTCCACATACACCACGCCCCCAACCCCACCCATATACGCAGTGGCGTAGCGAGGTCGGGTGTCATCAGGTGCGGCACTTAATGGTGTCACACCCCCCCCCCCAGAGGCGTAGCGACCCTTCGAGGGGACAAACTTTCAAATTTTGGATTTGCACCCCCCTTCCTCAAACTTTCGATTTGTTGCACCCCTCCCCCCTCAAACTTTCGATTTGCACCCCCCCCCCCACCTCAAACTTTTGATTTGCATCCCCCCCTCAAGTTTTTCCCTATATATTTTGCTATTTTTTGCCTTGGTGTCACCCCCCTAAATGGTGTCATCCGGTGCGGTACACACCCCCCGCCCCCTCCCCTCGCTACGCCTCTGCCTATACGGTATCCAAGCGTCCTTTTCACGCGTCTTTTCTTTTGGATATCGTGGCATTTAGACAAGACGTGTTTTTACTGTCGAGCTAAGTCCAAAATTGTGTTACTGTTTGTCTTTTATGGCGTATTTGTAACCGCACTGTTGTGTGCTGACGAAGACCTTGGGTCGGAAAGTCCATAGTATTTGTAACTGTCTTTAACTTGCGACGTAACTAACACTTATCTGTTTTATTACTAAAGTGTGTTGATATTACTCAATCAAGCGGCTTGAACCTGTCACGTTTCCGAAATTATCACCCAACAACTTCACCTGACTGCAGTCATCAACACCACCACTTTGACTTCATAACAGTGGGCTCAACCTCCAGAGGCGTAGCGAGGGGGGGGGGGCACCAAGGCAAAAAATAGCAAAATATATAGAGAAAAATTTGAGCGGGGGGGGTGCAAATCGAAAGTTTGAGGGGGGGGTGCAAATCGAAAATTTGAAAGTTTGTCCCCGTAAGGGTGGCTACGCCTCCATTAAGTACCGCACCGGGTGTCACCCGGCCTCGCTACGCCACTGTCAGCCTCACTAATTAAGGGATGCCAAGTGCTAACAAAGCCGCTCTGGAACTCTAAGCGCAAAACCGTGTATTGACGAAAATCGCACCCTCCCGGGCGCCGCCCATAAGAATTATTTTTTTCGCAGAAACCTTCTCGAGAGTATTCTCATCTACTCTCTAAAGTTTAATTACAATCGGATGAACGGTGTCGAACCGCATATTTTATTTTTATATACCGGGGCGCCTCCCCTGCGAATTTGAATTTTCTTTTCGCAGATACCTCCCCAAGTTTTAGCTTGTGTAACTTGCTTGGTTAGCAGATTGTTTTGATCGAAATAGCTCAGGTCAGCTCCACTATGATTTGTCTATACTAGACTTGAGTGATCGATTTAGCGCGTCTTATAATTGTGCTGATCTCCTCGGAAATTCGCTTGGTAAGAAGTGAAACAAGGTTGCTGTTTTATTTATGTCTCTTAATTTTTGTTTGAATACTTTGTTTATCAAATAAAGCAAATTTGGTCAAAGTATGTGTGCAAGGGTCCGAAATATATTAAAATGTTTAACAAGGGCGAGTTTTGCTTTCAAGCGCAGATCAAATGGGTCTGATGGACCAGGGGTCGGCAACCTTTTGAGATGGAAGAGCCATAAGTTACAATGTTCAAGATTTCCCAGTTTTTAAAGAGCCACTAACATTTTTTTAATTTCAATATTTTATTAGTTGATTAGGATTAGGTAAATCAATTTGATGTGTTATTTAAAATAAATAGCTTTAAATATGAAATATGTTTATTCACATAAAAACACACTTGTTTCGCCAGAATAATGAAATTAGTAATAAAAAAATAAAAATATAAGGACTATCCCAAACCACTTTAGAAGATGTTAATTTTTTTTTCTTTCTTTACGGACATCACCGGCTCATGGAGGTGTCTCCCATTAGACAGGCGGGTCTCAACACGGCAAGCTGGCTTGGATATCGGTTTAATTATCGTTTACCGGTCGCTTCTGTCCTTAGGTTCTCAGCAGGCTTATCTTTCAACCCAATGAACGCAGGGTAGGCTGGTCCCCCACCGTCCAGTACCCGACTCAGCAGTGAGAAGCTAATAACTAATAAGGGAATTGTTGTCACGGGGCTGTCCACAGCACGGGTGTGGGGCTGGACCTGGTGCCCAAGCGGCTGTCAGCCATCCGTATGCTTTCTACTGCACCTATTCTCTCTGTTCTATGATAAGATTTTTCTTCTGTTTAATCATGTGTTTCTTTACAGTATAATTTTCTTATCAGTTTTAAAAATGAAATAATATAAATATTAATATTCGTGCAAGGAGCTGGAGAGCCACATCTTGACATCGAGGGAGCCGCATGCGGCTCGCGGGCCGCAGGTTGCCGACCCCTGTGATAGAAAGATACATGATTTGTCCCTAATTTTGTAGGGATCCAGAAATACAACATGATCACTAGACGAGCTGCAACCTTAATTGCAAGTAATCTGAATTGTTAAAACAAATCTTATAAAAAAAGCAAGTGTGTGTATTTGTTTAAGGAATATATGTTTTTAATTATTTAATTAATAAAATGAATTATTTGGAAAAATTACATATATTATTAATTATTAGTATCATATAATGAAATTTAAATAGGGGTTTTTATGTTTTCTGCATGCATTAGATTTGTTTGGTAATTTTATCTCTTCGTATATAAGTTACTTCCCTTGAATTAAATTTTTCATTTTGGAATTTTAAATTGAATATAATTAATTGCCCAATTTTAAGATCATTTTTTTTAAAATATGTCATCTTGGATAGACCGCTAAGTTATAAAGTAAATTCTAAGTTTTGAAAAAGATCAAGTCCTACAAGTTATTTACTATCTAAATACCCACCTCTACCTATTATCACCTTTCACTTATAATAAATGTGTTACATGATTTAGTTCGATAATTTGATCGAGTATTATTGTATACATGCAATACGAATAGGGAACATATTTAAAAAAAAAACACTAAATCTTGCACAAGTAAAAATAAATGAAATTAATAAATTAACAGCAGATAAAAGAAGAAATTGTTGGTTTTTTTTTTCTTTCAAATGCTAAGCATCATCTGAATGGGTTGAGAGTGGTTAAAACAGCCAGGTGCTGGAAAGGGTTGCCGACAGAGTTTCTTCAAGGCATCTCTACGGGTGGGGCAGAGCTCCCCCCCCCCCACCCCCAAGAAAGTCTACTGCCCATCCCCCACCCTCCGAACGAAATGGATTTTTTATAGAAAATATATACTTTTAACAGTGTCCGCCACCTCACCCCCCCCCCCCTCGAAAAATTTCAAGTTGCCCCCCCCCCCCCCCGTTGAGAAAAGTCTGGAAGAAACGCTGCTTGCTTGTAGCCGATGTCATAATCACGGTTGAAGATAGATGTCTCATCTGTAGACGATTTTTGTTTCAGTTACTGTTTCTAGAGCAGAAAGAAAAGTGTTAGACTTATGAATTTTTTTCTACAACTGGTAGATTTGTTTAGTGATTTAAAATATTTAAGCTTTGTTATGAATTATAAACATATCAGACATTGTGACCTACGGAATGGTACCATTAAAAGTTTAACACTTTTGCATTTTTTTTTTGTTTATTAATTATTGTAAATATATATATATATATATATATATATATTTATATATATATATATATATATATATATATATATATATATATATATATATATATATAGATATAGATATATATATATATATGTATATATGTATATATATATATATATATATATATATATATATATATATATATATATATATATATATATATATATATATATAGATATATAGATATATATATATATAGTGTTACTAAAATAACTGATTTTTTAATTGTCATTTCGTAAGGCGATGTTGATGTGCCGTATTTAAATATGCATTTAATTTTTAATTATATATATATATATATATATATATATATATATATATATATATATATATATATATATATATATATATATATATATATATATATATATATATATATATATATATATATATATATATATATATATAGTCCTAGGACCTTTGACCACAGGTGCTTTGACCATAGGGGGTTTGACCATAGGGGGTTTGACCACAGCGGAGCTTTGACCATAGGGGCTTTGACCATAGGGGGTTTGACCACAGCGGGGCTTTGACCATAGCGGTGCTTTGACCATAGGGGGTTTGATCATAGGGGGTTTGACCATAGGGGGTTTGACCACAGGTGTTTTCTCAGCAGAGGGTCTTTGATCACTGGTCTATCAACTGGTGTTTGATCACAAGCGCTGTGTCCGGCTTTGATCATAGGTGTTTTGTCCACATAGGGTCTTTGATCTCTGGTGGTTTGTCCAATGCTGTCCATATATGGTAAGGATTTATTTTAAAAGTTGCTAAATTATATTTTAAATTTCGACATGATGTAATAATATGGTCAAACAGATGTACTGACATATTTGCGTGCTATAGCACATCTGTCATTTAGTTAACCATTTTATGTATTACATCTTTGACTATATTGTTGGCAAGTTTTGTATCATTTTTTATCCTTTATATATGATATGTATTTTCAAGTAATTCTACATTATTTATTTGTGAAACTTGTTATATGTCACATTATTTGTGTTTCATTTATATTTAAAATAAATCTATGAGGTCTAGCGCCAGCCTTTATGTGGAGACTAAAATATAGTTCTTGGCTTTCTTAAATACATGTTAATTTCTATTAACGTACTCTTAGGAAACATGTATAAAATCTTATTAATTGTATCACACCTATGATCAAAGCCGGACACAGCGCTTGTGATCAAACACCCGTTGATAGACCACCTGTGATCAAAGACCCTCTGCTGAGAAAACACATGTGGTCAAACCCCCTATGGTCAAACCCCCTATGATCAAACCACCTATAGTCAAAGCACCGCTATGGTCAAAGGCCCGCTGTGGTCAAACCCCCTATGGTCAAAGCCCCTATGGTCAAAGCTCCGCTGTGGTCAAACCCCCTATGGTCAAACCCCCTATGGTCAAAGCACCTGTGGTCAAAGGTCCGCGCACCATATATATATATATATATATATATATATATATATATATATATATATATATATATATATATATATATATATATATATATATATATATATATATATATATATATATATATATATATATATATATATATATATATATATATATATATATATATGATGTTTATATATTTTGGTAATTCATAAAAATATCTACGGATCAAAGAAAAAATATTAATTATCGATAATTAGTCTTAAGATGTATGAAATACGTCTTCTTTGGAACATTAAAAACACATTAAGTGTCTGTTGGCTAGATAACACTTTTAAAATCTTACTTTTTATTTTGTTTTTTTCCTTTTCCTTTTTTTCCCTTCCTGTAAAAATGGACAGTGTTCAACTTTGTAAGTTATAATAGTTTTATCATGGTGACCTCTAATTAGCAATTTTACCACACATTCTATAGTATCCTTCAGAAAAGTAAATAACAATGTCAATGAAACAAAATACCATATGAGCATAAGCCGAATTTTCAACATGTATGTTGATATTGATTCAGATATATAAAAGATAACATAAAAGGTAATTGTTTCTATTTATAGTTTACTTACCTATCATCTTTTTGTTTTGTTTTCATTTCTTTGCCTGTAAAGTTTTTAATTTTTTTTAAGTTTTAAATTTAAGCGAATCATGTTATTCTAGAATATAAAGAGATAAGATGGGCCGCAAGGTAGGGACAAGATGGGCCGCCATGGAAGAAAAGATGGGCCACTCGTAAAGGGGTGCGGACACAGGTAAAAGTGTATATTTTCAATATAAATTATATTTCGTTCTGAACGGTGGGGGGGGGGGGGGGAGGGGGGGGCAGAGTGTTTTGAGGGGAGGGAGGGGGGGCGGTCTGAAAGAAACAGTGTTTTGGAGTGTATGCGTAGTCTGTGTATCTAGAGATAGTTTTTTAAAAAATGAAAATGATATTTGCGAGAATAAATTCGCAGCTCTTAAATAAACGACATTATGTTTTTTTTTAACCAATCATGCCCTCCCACGACACACATCGTCACAAAGAAGAGTGACGTCTTCTAAGTTCTTGTACGACCGTATAAAATAATAATTTAAAATAAAAATCTTACATTGCTTTTTAGCCGATTGTATGTCCTGTTTTGCTTTTTTGATAAGTTTTTTGTTTTTGCATTCGCCAGCAGCATTTTGTACACACTTCTTGTGGTCAGAAAACGATCTGGAATTTAGGAGCACATATAAAAGTAGTTGTAAATGCCAGCATGTTAAAGCACATATAAAAGTAGATGCAAATGCCAGTATGTTATAGCACATTTAAAAAGTAGTTAAAAATGCCAGTATTTTCCCCACGTGTTTTGTCACTATAAAAATATGCGTACTATATCCTTACTTGATTCTCTTGATTAACAATATTAAAGGTTATATATATATATATATATATATATATATATATATATATATATATATATATATATATATATATATATATATATATATATATATATATATTTGTGTGTGTGTGTGTGTGTGTGTGTGTATGTGTGTGTCGGCCTATCATTTAAATATATTCCACAGACACATTCGGATACATGTATGCGTATAAGCTTTAATCACTGCAGACTTAATAGTAACGATGTTTATTTATAGTCTGTACATTTGGCACTTTTTTGCCTTGGTGTCACCCCCCCAAATGGTGTCACCCGGTGCGGTCCGCACCCCACCCCCCGCGCTCCCTACGCCTCTGAACATATTTCTAGACCTACCTGCATGTTCCCCTGGTAATCTTGTTTTCAGTCAAAGTTCGACGATAAAGTGTGAAGGTTTCCAAGCATTCCCTCACTTTCGCACAATTTTTGGAATCCATTTTGTTACCTGTTCAAAATTTTTTTTAAAAGGATTTCACATTTTGCGATTCAATTAGGGGTTATAGTATCGGCATGGTATAATGGTACTATTGCCGCGGCATAAGTAATTATGTGGATGTTTGGATAGGTCAGTGTAAAAAATGTAAAATATGTAAAAAAAAAAAAAAAAAAAAAAAAAAAAAAAAAAAAAGAATCCTCTTTAGACCTAGCGGGCAGATGAGTTCATATGTTTCTTGATCTCGGCATAGGAAGGGAAGGTGTAGTCAGCACTTGCCCAGCCGACATGAGTCAGGTATCCATCAGAGCTGGGTGAACACAGGGACGTTCTAGTTCTAGTGACTTGAACCCGGATTTGAACTCGAGACTTTCGGGTTAGCAACTTAGCGCTCTACCGATAAGGCCATTCCCTTCCGTCAGCTATATGTATGGTGGGCTATAGGTCAGCTATATGTATGGTGAGCTAGAGGTCATCTATATGTATGGTGAGCTAGAGGTCAGCTATATGTATGGTGAGTTAGAGGTCATCTATATGTATAGTGAGCTATAGGTTAACTATATGTATGGTGAGCTATATTAAAACTATATTTGTGGTGAGCTAGAGGTCAGCTATATGTACAGTGGGCTATAGGTCAGCTATATGTATGGTGAGCTAGAGGTCAGCTATATGTATGGTGGGCTATAGGTCAGCTATATGAACAGTGGGCTATAGGTCAGCTATATGTACAGTGGGCTATAGGTCAGCCATAAGGATGGTGGGCTATAGGTCAGCTATATGAACAGTGGGCTATAGGTCAGCTATATGAACAGTGGGCTATAGGTCAGCTATATGAAAAGTGGGCTATAGGTCAGCTATAAGGATGGTGGGCTATAGGTCAGCTATATGAACAGTGGGCTATAGGTCAGCTATAAGGATGGTGGGCTATAGGTCAGCTATATGTATGGTGGGCTAGAGGTCAGCTATATGTATGGTGAGCTAGAGGTCAGCTATATGTATGGTGAGCTAGAGGTCATCTATATGTACAGAGGGCTATAGGTCAGCTATAAGGATGGTGGGCTATAGGTCAGCTATATGAACAGTGGGCTATAGGTCAGCTATAAGGATGGTGGGCTATAGGTCAGCTATATGAACAGTGGGCTATAGGTCAGCTATAAGGATGGTGGGCTATAGGTCAGCTATATGAACAGTGGGCTATAGGTCAGCTATATGAACAGTGGGCTATAGGTCAGCTATATGAACAGTGGGCTATATGTCAGCTATAAGGATGGTGGGCTATAGGTCAGCTATATGAACAGTGGGCTATAGGTCAGCTATATGAACAGTGGGCTATAGGTCAGCTATATGAACAGTGGGCTATATGTCAGCTATAAGGATGGTGGGCTATAGGTCAGCTATATGAACAGTGGGCTTTAGGTCAGCTATAAGGATGGTGAGCTATAGGTCAGCTATACATGTACTGTGACCTAGAAATCAGTTGAATGTATAGTGAGTTAGAGGTCAGCTGTATGTACGGTGACCTAGAAATCAGCTCGGTGTATCAGTCACCAGTACAAAATACCGCCACTCTATGTTCACAACGTGGTGATATTTTATGTTCACAACGACCTCATTGTATTAATTTAAGAAAAGAAATATTTACGCTATAGTTTTCAATGCTTTCAAAAGGGATTCTTAAATCTTACTTCATAGTTTTAAGCATTGCACAAATTAGATTGTGCTTGATTGAGTAAGAGCGGGAGATACAAGCTGTTTTGGCTTTTAAAAATCGCTAAGCATTAAATCATTACGCTTAATTAAAACTATGCCATACCTTTAAGTGAATTTTTTGTTTTCTCTCCTTCATCTACTCTGCCTGCAAAAAGAAACTTAATGTAAGTTGTAAATACATGCATATATATATATATATATATATATATATATATATATATATATATATATATATATATATATATATATATATATATATGTACCTACATCATGACAACACACTTGCATCTGGCTTGTATTACTTACAAAGATTGATTTTTAACAAAAATTAAAATCTTACACTCTTCTTCAAATGGTCTAAACTGTTCTGTAACCCAGCCGAACATCTCTTGAACTTGCGAATTATTTTGATTGGCTGCAACCGCACGCGCACACTCTTTGACCACTGGTAACTCGCTAGTTTTAATACATTGTATAAAAAACGTTTTAATAACAAGCTTTTATATAATTATGCACTAAAAAGGAGGAAATTTTTTTAAAATATATAACAATACATTACTATTTAAATAAATATATTTTATATCTAACCATATCTTTCAATTGTTTAGATAACTATGTTCGTTAAAATATATAATAAAAAAATAGAATCTTAACTGACATCAACAGTGCTTTATTTAAGATTGACTTAAGTAAGATAAGCTTTGGTTGGATATTAAATTGGGCATGATTGAATTTCTATAGTCTTCACTTTTTACTCAAATCCTTTCCGGTAAATATTTTTACTATGCTAATATTCTTCTAGTGCCTAGCTACACCATGTTACACCTTCTTAAAATGATAACAAAAGTATCATTGTTTTAGTCATTTTTTTTTTGCTTTATAAAAACATTAAAATGTTAAATACGTCCTATCTTTAGAGAAGCCATACAAAAACTACAGAATCAGGTATTTATAACCACATCTGTTTTTATAACAACACCAACTATTTTAAACTAATTAAAAAGTTCCTCTATACGGCTGGTAAGTAGGTCACCAACCAGTTCTACGGCTCAATACAACCTACATGCGCCATAGAACTGGTTGGTGACCTACTTACCAGCCCTATAATTGATGTCAGTTTACATCAAATCTATTTTAAGATTCATGAGCACCAGAAGTTGATTTTTTAACGGACAGAATTTAATTATTTTAGAGTCTTACGTGCACATGTCTTCTTTGTTTATAATTGGTCCTAAATTACTTCGGTACCGCTCCATGTATCCTAAGCAGAACTGCACCTGCATGAGATCTCTTGTGGTACCAACGATGCCTGTTAATGGGAGTTTGACAAAATCGATCACATCCTGCTATTACAATTGATACTAAGACTCAGGGGCGTAGCGAGGTGGGGGGGGGGGGTGCGGACCGCACCGGGTGACACCATTTAGGGGGGTGACACCAAGGCAAAAAATAGCAAAATATATAGAGAAAAACTTGAGGGGGGTGCAAATCGAAAGAAGTTTGAGGGGGGGGGTGCAAATCGAAAACTTGACGGGGGGGGGGGGGGGGGGGGCGCAAATCGAAAACTTGAGGGGGGGGGGGTGCAAATCGAAAACTTGAGGGGGGGTGCAAATCGAAAATTTGAAAGTTTGCCCCCGGGAAGGGTCGCTACGCCTCTGGGGGGGGGGGGTGACACCATTAATTGCCGCACCGGGTGACACCCGACCTCGCTACGCCACTGCTAAGACTGCATCTGATATAGGTTGATATAACTAAAGTAAATAATCGTTTTTAGGCCGATCGATACATTAAGCAGATGAAGTAGAGTTTATGTTTCTTGACCAAGCTATATAAAGGGTGAAGTAGAGATTCTTGACCTCGGGAAGGGATGGCGTAGTCAGCACTTTGCCCAGCCGCCTTTACTTTCACTAACGTGAGTTAGGTACCCATCATAGATGGGTGGACTCAGTGACGCTGTACTGACTTGAATCCGGATTTGAACTCAAGACTTTCGGATTAGCTCTACCATTTAGGCCACGCCGTCCCATGATATAACTAAGAGTTCAGGTAATTTTTCTATGCTTTTTAAAATGGTACGTCTTTAATAACATGTTTTTTAATCGCCGCAAAGTCTAGTCATCACATTTAGAATTTGATGGCTACATTGATGTTTATAAAATTAAAAAAAGAAAGAATGCAATAATCAATTTTTAGTATAATCATTTTCTTAGTATAATCGAGTCAACTGTTTTTTTACTAAAATAATTGTCTGGGATTTCAAAAAATAAACATTAGTTTCTTTGTTATGCTAATTTTAGTTTTAGCGACTTTTTAAATAATGCTGGCTTTAAATATAAAGACAACAGATGCATATATCAAGAAATAAATCACCATCTAAATTGGAATATACCTCCCAGTTAATGTAGGGTTGTGTGTTTCGTTTCAAGAATGAGTTAGTTAAATGCATGCTTTTTTAAAGAGCGTCTGACTCTACCTTACGCTAACTCACTAGCATACACACATCAACTACACATTACACAGTGAACACACAAGGGACGTAACCGTGATATACATAATACAAGGGACGTAACAATCACTAAAAAGACATAATGTAACAGTTTTTTTTTGAAATGTGTTGATACTAGTGTAGATGTGTAGTTGTTATTAACCTACAAGTGTGGTACAACTTTGTCATGTTGAGGGTTTCATATATGGCGTGAATTTCTCTACGTATATATTTGACATCAGGACAGAGCATACGTAATCGTATGCTACATTCAATGGAATCTTTGAGAATTCTGAGGACAAAGAAACATAGAATTTATCATTTGCTACATTGAACATCATATATATATATATATATATATATATATATATATATATATATATATATATATATATATATATATATATATATATATATATATGTGTGTGTGTGTGTGTATAAAACATTTAAATAATACCATACCTGCACCTCTCGCCATCGTCATGAATATTGCGTACTCTTGACCAGCCTTTCTTGCATAGATAAAAGCCATTCGCATTACAAGCTGTAGATGGCGAATCTAACAGATCTACAAAAATTGAAAAATTAGTACATTCTGCGGATTCTCATTCGGGGTTTCGGTTCAAGTATGTCGTATGGAGTAGTCTAGCGGTAGAGAGCTGGACTGCTCGTAAGTCTCGAGTTCGAATCCGGGTTCAAGTCAGGAGACCGTCCCTGAGTCCACCCAACTCTGATGGGAACCTAACTCACGTTAGGGAAAGTAAAGGCGGCTGGACATAGTGCTGACCACACTATCTCTTCATATGCCGAGGTCACAGAAACAAGTGAACTCTACTTCACTTGCCCCATAGACCGTCAGGTTTGAAAGGGAATCTTTACTTTTAACTTTATTATGTCGTATGGCTAGGCTTTAAATTAACGTTTTGGCTTACTGTGCTGGTTATAGAAAGTGTTGGTAATCAACATTACTAATAAAACGTTATTATTAAAAGGAAACTTGAAAATTGCAGGTAAAACCTATGACTTACCTGTTGTTAAATATTCTTCTTTTTCTCTTGTGCCTATTAAAATATATGCAGGTGTATTACTAAATAAAATACAGACGCTCCATAATACACACACACACACACATATATATATATATATATATATATATATATATATATATATATATATACATACATACATACACATACACATACACATACACATACACATACACATACACATACACATACACATACACATACACATACACATACACATACACATACACATACACATACACATACACATACACATACACATACACATACGCATACGCATACGCATATGCATTCGCATACGCATACGCATATACATATACATAAACATGTACATTATATATATATATATATATATATATATATATATATATATATATATATATATATATATATATATATATATATATATATATATATATATATATATATATATATATATATATATATATATATATATATATATATATATATATATATATATATTCATGCATATTAATATTATGTCCGTATATACAGAAGTATATATTGTAGTAAAAAAATTAAATCTTACAAAGTTCTATGATTGATGTTAACATAAGGTATCTCTCGCTGTACAACTCTCTATCAGATGACGTTTGGCAAAAGCGATCAGCCTCATGTACACACTCTCGTACGCCAGCCGCCCCTCTGGAAGTAGGAAACACAGCAAGTCAGTTAGCATTACATTCTTCTTCTTCTTCGTTCTTTAGTTTTAGTGGAGCCCCTTCCAACACACTTGATTATACGTGTCAAATTATTATGCGCCACCAGAGGCGTAGCGAGGGGGGGGGGGCATATGTCCCCTGGCGCCGTCCTCAGAGGGGCGCCAAATTGAAAGTTTGATGGGGGGGGGGGGGGTGCAAATGAAAAGTTCGAGGGGGGTTGGAAATCGAAAGTTTGAGGGGGGTGGGTGTAAATGAAAAGTTCGAGGGGGGTTGCAAATCGAAAGTTTGAGGGGGGGTGCAAATGAAAAGTTCGAGGGGGGGGGGGGGTGCGCCACTGAGACCATTGACTCCGTTTTCAGCCCGCTTTTCTGTTTGGATTTGCTTCCGTAACCTTTGTTCAATCAAGAACAAACTACAAGGGAGTATTTTTTTATTTATTTTGGATTTGTCACTCCTAGGAGAGTGGCTGTCCCCAACCGAGGGTTCGAAGTCGAGACTTTACGGTTTAACAACCATGAGCTTTACCGACTCGACCACGCCACCACTATTTGTTCATTAAAGGTAAGTGCATTATTCGTAAAATATTTAATAATTGTAATAAAAACAAATTATCACGTTAGCAACATTTTCAGCTATATTAAATGAAGATTTGTAAAAAGATGTTTTCATAAACTTTTTATTATTATTTCTGCTATGGACAGCTTACGTGTTTTAGTAATGCAGCCAGGGCTGGCGCTACTTATAAGGCGAACTAGGCGGTCGCCTAGGGCGCCATCCCTAGGGGGGGCGTAAAAAGGTTTTAATCGCTATTATCACAAAGTACCTAATATTTAATAACTTTTATAAAGGAGTAACTGTCTATTTCGGTACCCAGGAAGAACTATCAATTTTGTACCCCCACCCCAAAATTAGGCCTATCTATATTCGCGAAGGTGAAAAAGAAACCCCCACCTCCTTCTGTTCTGGTGTATGGAGTTTTGTAATGACGGGGTGTTCAAAGTATTGCACTTGTTTGGTAAGTTTTGATGAATCGTTAAGATTTGGCTGTTGCTGATATGGTTTCGTAGGTATAAAGTATAGACGTGTTAAAGTATTATAATTTTTATTCGGCTGTTTTGTAGTTGAAGGTCTAGTGGAATCGGATTGGTAATAGAGAAATGAGAATGCAGGTGATGAAGTATCTTAGTTCTGGAGTTCGGGAGTATTGAGTATTATGGTATTCAGGGAGAAGGCTCCGGAAAAAATTTGAAAAAAAGACTTTTTAATTATTAAGCCTTTTTTTTTAAATTTTATTTGTGTATATATACGTTAGGGTACTTAAGGGAAAATATTTGCATGCATCAGGGACTCTTCGGAAAATATGGTTGCCATGGAAACGGCGGCCATCTTGTAAAAAACTACCTTTTGTGGAGTTCTAAAATTTCATAAAGTAACATAGAAACCGCCCATATAATCATTGATCCAACTAACACTAATAGGATCAGCTGGCTAGTTTTTGTAACAGAAAAATTGCTAGAAATATTTTTTTTTCAAATTTTCAAAGTTCTTTTATGGTGAAAAACCATTAAATTTAAGTGAAATTTCACCATACCAATTTTTAAAAATTAAAAAAAAAAAAAAAAATTCTGTTTTCTGTTACAAAAACTAGCTAGCTGATTCTATTAGTGTTACGTACACTAACTTAGATATCCACAAATAAATCAATAAAAAGTTTCAATTAAGAAGTTTTATCTGGAGCCTACCCCTTTAAGGTATCGAATTACATTGATTGTTTAAGTGTAGTAGTAGGTCCAGTATAATCGTTGTTGATTTGGGGTATCGTTTGTAGAGCTTGGTGAAGTTAAGCGAGATGGTGTCGTAGTTCTGGAGCATCGAGTCTAGTTATGTTTAGGTATCGAAGTTTGATATGTGTTGTGAATGTAGTAGAGCATATCGAGTAGTCGAGTTTATCGTAAGTTAGATGATTTCAATTCAGTACGAAACACAAAGAAAGGTAGACGTTCTCTAGTTGAAAAATCTTTATATTTTTAGGAATCTATATTACCACTCTTAAAGTATTAATATATAATATTAAATAGGATGGAATGTATAACCAACCGTAAATTTTATTTTGTCTAAAAAATTCAATTTTTTTTTATATTTAATCAATCATTCCAGCAATCACTAAAACAGCTACCAGTATATTATTTTTTGAAATGCGTCCCTTTATTTAGGGGATCCAAAATATTATAAATGTAAATTTTTTAATGGCAACAACCAAACGAATGTCATCAATGTTGAATAGAAGTATGTTATTATAAAGCTACTACTTGCATACTTTCAAACAAAACCTACAGTTAAGTATTCAATAGCTAACATATATTGTTTTTTCAAGTTTACATAGCTAATATAAAAGATTTGTTATAATCATTGTTACGTAATGAAATTTAGAACGTTTTATTGTGCTTTTCAAGCATATCTTAGTTACACTTGGTTAAGTTAGCTATTCTTGTTAAAGTTATTTCCCTTGAATAAAAGTTTTATATTTATTTTTTCAAATGGGAGATAATTCGTTGCTTAACTTTACATTCATTTCAAATTCCTGCACCTTAGGTTGGCCGTTTACATATAAATACAACTTTAAGTTATTATTTGCTATTGTAAAAATTATATAGAGCAGAAGTTCTAAACAAAACAGTTTTGGTAGGTTTTTTAGCATTATCAAGTTGAAAAACAAATACATCAATAGTCGTTGGAGATTTTAATACTTAATGTTAGTAGACACACAGTCTTACTCGTAAATTAAACATCTAATTAATTGTCTTTTCATATTTTTCATCCTGTCCTAAAGGATTCATATTTAACAATTTTAGGCTGGAATCTATAACATTTATAACCTTTTATTTTTCAAAAAAAAAATCGTTACATAATCACACAATATAGACAGATTAAAATTATAACTAAAGACACTCAAGCTAAAACAGGTACGTTCCGTTTTGGAACTCACCTTGGGAGGACTGCAGAGAGCCCAACACTACAAGAACTTATTTTTAAGTCGGTTTTTTTTTCCAGACTTTTTTTCTTCCTGGAAGTGGGGGGAAGCACTTAAAATGTTTAAAGGGGCGGGGGGGGGGGGCTTTGTCGTAAAGTACAAAGTAGACTCGTGGACTTTCAATAGAATGTGATAACGTTTGCAAACTGGAATTGATGAAATTAGTACAAACTTTTGAGACGAAGGGGACAAATAAAATTAGATTTTGATATCTACCTTTAACGTGTATGCAATTGATAATAAATTAATATGTCACTTTTAATGAATTGTTTTCTTATACATATGTTTTAGTAATAAATTTGTGTGAAAAGAGGGCGTTTTAATAAGTTTTGCCTAGGGCCCTAAATAACCCTACGCCAGCACTGAATGCAGAGATGCTGCGCAACATTACCCCGGAAATATTTACACACGTAGATAATAAACCTACAGATACAAAGTCGAACAATTAAAGTATAGACTCACTTGCATGTTTCTTCAGTAGCTTTGCGATTGATTACACTCAAAAAAAGTTTATGATCAAAGTCTGCCATGCAGCGGTCCACGTTTCCCCGGCACCCTAGAGAGTTTTCAACTGGGACTTGCGTGAGAACTCGTTTAGCTGTAGTTTAAAATCAGAGTTGGGATCACAGTGTTAACTGCTTTTAACTACATAAGAAAACTATTCATATGTGAATAAAGAAATAATATAAATATGCATATATATATATATATATATATATATATATATATATATATATATATATATATATATATATATATACGAACTGCATACTCATGCCTAAGCTGCGGCGTGAAATTGCAATGATACCTAACGAAGAACAGAAAACATATGAGACACAACACACAATACCTTCTCATTTTTTAAACTTGTAAAATAAATTTGAAGTTCCCATAAGGGGAGGGGGGGGGGCTATACAAATGAGAAAAGAGAAATGAATAATGCAAGGTAAATAACAAAACACACCACAACCCGTATGACACCACGAAACACGCTGAAACACGCCGAAACACGCCAAAACACACCGAAACACGCCCAACCCCCTTCCCCACTTTTAACCACACACACACACACACACACACGCACGACCCATATTTTAATGTTTTATACAGCTAAAAACCCACACCACGACACCCACACTCAATATCCTGAAACTCATCCCACACCATTCACCACTTCCCCAACAAAAAACCACGCACTACATCACACAATGCATTGAGCAAAACAAAGTATCAAGGAATAGAGTGGAGTAGCTTTGAATAGATTGGGAGAGGTAGAGTTGAATCATAATAGACTTTGTAGAATTTAATAGAATGTAGGAAAATGTAGTAGAACTTAATAGAATTATATTAAAATTAAGTCAATTGCATTAAATTAAAATAGAGTAGAATTTAATAGAATAAAGTAGCGTTGTAGAGTAAAATGCAGTAAAATAAGTAAAACAAAAGAGATTGTAAAAAAATATAGAGTCAGAATGTAGTAGAATATCTTTCACAATAAAACCATATGCTGCGATTCACATCCCATTATCTTAAATAGCATAACCCACACTTTACTGCACTAGCTCTACAATCACACACACAGCCACACAGCAGACAACATAAGTACCACACGTCCATACACCCCTATCACATACATACACCACAAATACCACATACATACACCACCAATACCACACGTCCATACACCCCCATCACATACATACACCACCAATACCACACGTCCATACACCCCCATCACATACATACACCACAAATACCCCACGTCCATACACCCCTATCACATACATACACCACCAATACCACACATCCATACACCCCCATCACATACATACACCACCAATACCACACGTCCATACACCCCCATCACATACATACACCACAAATACCCCACGTCCATACACCCCTATCACATACATACACCACCAATACCACACATCCATACACCCCCATCACATACATACACCACCAATACCACACGTCCATACAACCCCATCACATAAATACACCATAAATACCACACGTCCATACACCCCCATCACACACATACACCACAAATACCACATACATACACCACAAATACCACACACATACACCCCCATCACACACACACAACTCTTAACACACGAAGTAGAGTAGCCTATAATAGAAATAATCACAATATATAAATAACTTTCGAGTCTCGGTAAGTGAATAATGAAAACAAAAACACAAAACAAAAATAAAATCCATAAACTACATATGGCCTTAAGACAGTTACGACAGTACAAAAACATAACATAATACTTTAACAACGTTTCAATTCATGCAAAATTAAACAATTTTAATACACTGCACCCCATTAACATGGGGGTAACATCTGTAAAAATAAAATTATTTCTTTTATTTAAAAAAACTATTAGTCAATTTTGATTATACAAACAATAAACATAATTAATTATTAATAAAATAATTTTAATGTTAATGGGTTTTTTTTAAAGATAATTACTTTTTACCTTCAATAATTCGTACCTGTTTTGTTTTTCTTTTTATGCTGTCTATTGTTAACTGGTCTCTGGGTTCCTGTTTTCTTTTCTTCATCTTCCTCATTATTGTCTTTGCCTGTAAAAATATGACAGTTATATAAGTAGTATTTTAGCGTATTGGAAGGTAAAATGGTCGGCGTGGTAGGGCAGGTAAAGTTCATGGCTTCAAGTTCGAATCCTTTGGGCAGTTGAGGGACAGCAACCCATCTAGGAGAGAAAAATATTTTAAAATATTTTTAAATAAACCGGGAGTGATCTCACCTAAACTTTCTCGAATATTCTTATATAAAACAACATGGGATGGCAACTCGGGATATAGACATGATTTTTAATCCATTTTTAATTTCTCAAGTTATAGGCTTCAGAAATATTGAAAGTAGAAAAAGTTCCACTTCCGGTTACCGGAAATAGCTCAAAAGTTGATACGGATCTACGATTTTGATATAATACTTATATATGAAATTTCATCAACCTACCTGTAACGGTACTCAAGTTATCGTGTTTACAGACACACACACACAGACACACACATACACACATACATACGTACAAGATTGCAAAACTATCTTTTTTCGACTCAGGGAGGTGTAAAATGTCGAGATTTGCAATAATCTCGACTTTTTTTTGCAAGATTGCAAGACTTTCTCTATACTTCGTATATACCAGAAAGTCAAAATCAAACAACTGCTGCCTTGCATTTTGTTCTCGGATGGACAAAGGCTATGGAAGCAAATCCAAAAAGAAAAGAAGGCTGAAATCGGAGTCAATGGCCTTTTGTGTTGGAGGGTATCCCTTCCAACACTAAAATTAAGAACACAGAAGAAGGACTATATGACACGCAATACTTAATTGTATTTGATTAAGTCGTTGAATAAGATTGGGTTAATAGATTTCCCACATCACACCAAAAAAAAAACCGGACATAATGAACGAAACAAAAGCTTATAAAACAATTTGTTCAAATTAGTTAGCCACACCCAGGCTTTAATAATTAGATTCGCGTTGAGCATTACCTGCGAAAAATCTTTATTATGTCATCTGTTTGTAAGTTAAGTACAACATTTGTAGGGAGGGTTCGTATGCAGATTAGATCGAGGGAACGCTCGGGAGACGTCTAGAATATTTTGTCTTTAACCTTTTGTTGTCCGTGAGAGCACTTGTCTTTAAATATTATTTACGAGCTGACCCGCGACGTAGTATACGCCGCCATCTATCTAGTTGTTTATTTTCTGCTTATCATCAATTCATAGTTTGTGAATTTAACACTACCCCTTACCCCCCCCCCTCCCTCCCGCCCAGTGAAAGCAGCCGTTTACAGATAAAGAAAAGATCATCAGAAATTGTTACCTCCCCTTCGTTTCAAATCGTTAAATACTAACTTATCTGCCCCTAATAGCCGTCACTAACCCGGCTCTACGGTTGTAAACATTAGGGGTGAACCTGACAGGTGGAGATGAGGGTGGTGGCTAAGCTGCGTATTGTTTTCTACGATCTCCATGAAGAGAATTATATATAGATGTTACAGCAACGACTAACAACAGAGAAAGCACCCATAAGTATTTTAATAATGCTAAGCGCTATAATCACAAATGTACTATCAGAAAATCTTAATTCTCAACATTATACTTACAATTAGCAAGCATTTGTAGGATTCCAGGCGAAACCGCTTCTATTTGGGATGTAGTTTGTTGATTACCAGCACATTTAGCTTTTAGTTCGGTGAAACAGTTGGAAGTTTCTTTTGCTAACCTATCAATGTATTAAATCAAGATACAAACATTGCAATTTAAGCTTGTTTTATTTATAAAAATGTAATTTAAAATGTTAACATTGATGTTTACATTTAACTTTTAGTTTGGTGAAATAGCTAGATATATTCTTTTGCTAACCTATCAATGTATTAAATTAAGATACAAGTAATTGCAATTTATGACTGTTTTATTTATAAAATGTAATTTAAAATTTTTAAAATGTATGTTTATTTCAAGTTTTATGACGATACAGGTGGATTTTAGCTAAACAATCAATGTTTTGAATCAATTTTTTATTTGCAAAATACAAACATTGCAATTTATGCTTGTTTTGTTTATAAAATGTTATTCAAAATTTTAAGATTGATGTTTATATTTAACTTTTAGTTTGGTGAAATAGCTGGATATATTCTTTTGCTAACCTATCAATGTTTTAATTCAATTTTCTATTGCAAGATACAAACATTGCAATTTATGCCTGTTTCATTTATAAAATGTAACTTAAATTTTTAAAATTTGTTTACTTTCTAGTTTTATTCACGATACAGCTGGATGTATTCTTTTGCTAACCTATCAATGTTTTTATTCAATTTTTATTGCAAGATACAAACATTGCAATTTATGCCTGTTTTATTTATAATATGTAATTACAATTTTAAAATGTATGTTTATTTCAAGTTTTATTACGATACAGCTGGATATATTCTTTTGCTAACCTATCAATGTTTTTATCTAATTTTTTATTGCAAAATACAAACATTGCAATTTATGCCTGTTTCATTTATAAAATGTAATATACAATTTTAAATTTTTGTTTACTTTCAACTTTTATTGACGATATACAACAGACTCACTTGCAAGCTTCTGCTTGGTTTTGTGGGGACTGAGGTAAGCCAACGATTGAGTTCATACACTTCATGACATTGCAGTCTGAATCACTAGAAGGGCCTGTAAGTTCAAATATTTGTAAGCGTTAACATCATACAATCCTATAACAGTTTATTTCAGACTTAACAGCCTTATAAGGCAGAGCAAGTTCATCTGTATCTTTCACATTGTGTGGTCAGTACAATAACTTATAGTCTGTGTGATTTGATGAACATTCTTCGTTCTTGACCATGTCGTTCAGTAATGTCTTACATTTACATCATATTATTTTATAATTTAAAAAATTTAAAAACCTTCATAATAATAAGCTTTTGAAAGCACTGAATTATTTTAAAAAAGTAAAGCTAATTTGGTTTTTAATAAAACCATTGCTTACTAAAACGTGTAAGAGATTTCGCGGGCGTCCAATACGTTTACTAAAGAAAGCAAATTAGTTGTATTTCGGTACTTTCAGTGCATATAAATGGCTATTTTTATAAAAGTGCTTATACCTGTGTATTTTCCACTTTTATAAATTGTTATGAATTAAGTTACAACTAATAAAAATATTTGCGTTAAAACCTGATCAGGTAGCTTGCAATATCGAAAAAAAAAATATCTCTGTCCTCTTAGTTAGTGGACGTATCTTAGGCACAAATAAATCACAAAGCCCGGGAAAAATGTTTATTCGACGGCTATCTTATAGAGTGATCTCTAGCATTCATTATTGTAGTATCCCTTTTGTTATGGAATTTCATAATTTTGAATTAAATTTTAGCAAAAGAAACTTTAATGCTCAACATTATACTCACAATTAATGCACAACATTATACTCACAATTAATGCCCAAAATTATACTCACAATTAAAGTACAACATTATACTCACAATTAATGCCCAACATTATACTCACAATTAAAGTACAACATTATACTCACAATTAATGCCCAACATTATACTCACAATTAATGCCCAACATTATACTCAGAATTAATGCTCAACATTATACTCACAATTAAAGCTCAACATTATACTCACAATTAATGCTCAACATTATACTCACAATTAATGCCCAACATTATACTCACAATTAATGTACAACATTATACTCACAATTAAAGCTCAACATTATACTCACAATTAATGCTCAACATTATACTCACAATTAAAGATCAACATTATACACACAATTAATGCTTAACATTATACTCACAATTAATGCTCAACATTATACTTAAAATTAATGCTAAACTTTATACTCACAATTAATGCTCAACATTATACTCACAATTAATGCCCAACATTATACTCACAATTAATGCCCAACATTATACTCACAATTAATGCCCAACATTATACTCACAATTAATGCTTAACATTATACTCACAATTAATGCTCAACATTATACTCACAATAAATGCTCAATATTATACTCACAATTAATGCTCAACATTATACTCACAATTAAAGCTCCACATTATACTCACAATTAATGCTCAACAATATACTCACAATTAAAGCTCAACATTATACTCACAACTAATGCTCAACATTATACTCACAATTAATGCTCAACATTATACTCACAATTAAAGCTCAACATTATACTCACAATTAATGCCCAACATTATACTCACAATTAATGCTCAACATTATACTCACAATTAAAGCTCAACATTATACTCACTATTAAATGCTCAACATTATACTCACAAATAATCCTCAACATTATTTTCACAATTAATGCTAATCATTATACTCACAATAAATGCTCAACATTATACTCACAATTAATGCTCAATATTATACCCAAAATTAATGCTCAACATTATAATTAAAGTCCAACATTATACTCACAATTAATGCTCAACATTATACTCACAATTAATGCTCAACATTATACCCAAAATTAATGCTCAACATTATAATTAAAGTCCAACATTATACTCACAATTAATGTCCAACATTATACTCACAATTAGCAAGCATTTGTTGGAGACCAGGCAAAAGCCTTTCTATCATGTCTGTAGCATTTTGATCACCAGCACATTTGACTTTTTGTTCTGCGAGACAATTGGAGGCTTGGCCTGCTATCCTATCAATGTTTTAATTTAATTTTAATTGTAAGATATAAACATTGCGATTTATGACTTTTATTTAAATAATTTTATTGTTGATGTTATTGTTGTTGTTGTTGATGATGTTGTTGTTGTTTTGTTGATGTTGCTGTTGTTGTTGATGTTGTTGTTGATAATGTTGTTGTTGATGTTGTTGATGTTGTAGTTGTCGTTGTTGCTGTTGTTGTTGAAGATGATGTTGTTGTTGATGTTGTTGATGTTGTAGTTGTCGTTGTTGCTGTTGTTGTTGTTGGTGGTGGTGTTGTTGATGGTTTTGATGTTGTATTTGTCGTTGACATTGTTGCTGTTGTTGTTGATGATGTTGTTGTTGATGATGATGTTGATGCTGTTGATGTTGTTGATGTTGTTGATTTTGTTGTTGTTGATGTTGTTGATGATCATTTAGTTGTTGTTGTTGTTGATGTTGTCGTCGTTGATGTTGTTGATGTAGCTGTTGCTGTTGTTGATATTATAGTTAATGATGATGTTATTGTTGTTGATGATATTGTTGTTGTTGTTGATATTGTTGTTGGTGTTGCTGTTGTTGATGGTGTTGTTGATGTTGTTGTTGATGTTATAGTTGATGATGATGTTATTGTTGATGATGATATAGTTGTTGTTGTTGTTGATATTGTTGTTGTTGATGTTGATGTTGTTGTTGCTGTTGTTGATGTTATAGTTGATGATGATGTTATTGTTGTTGATGATCTTTTTGTAGTTGTTTTTGATGTTTTAGTTGTTGATGATGTTGTTGTTGATGATGGTGTTATTGTTGTTATTGTTGTTGCTGTTGTTGTTGTTAATGTTGTTGTTGTTGTTGTAATTGATGTTGTTGTTGATGTTGTTGATGATGATGATGTTGTTGTTGTTGTTGATGTTGTTGTTAATGTTGATGTTGTTGTTGATGTTGATGATATTGTTATTGATTTTGATGTTGTAGTAGTTGTTGATGTTGATGTTGTTGATGTTGTAGTTGTCGTTGTTGCTCTTGTTGTTGTTGTTGCTGTTGATGTTGTTGATGTTGTAGTTGTCGTTTTTGCTCTAATTGATGATGATGTTGTTGTTGTTGATGATGATGTTATTGTTGTAGTAGTTGTTGTTTTCGTTGTTTTTGTTGAATTAATGTTTATTTTAATATTTAGCTGTTTCTGAATTGTATACTGTAACAAGATTGTCTGAAGAAAGGTCACATATTTACCTGCAAGCATCTTCTAAGCTAGCAGGTGTCTGAGGATTTGTAAGGGTTGAGCTAATACATTTCATGACAGTGCAGTCTGAGTCAGTTAAACTACCTGTAGGTTCAAATATATCTAAGTGTAAACATTACAAAATCCTATAACAACGTATCTCAAACAGACTTGACAAGGAAGATCAAGTAAAGTATCTGTTTTTTTCACATTATGTACTCAGCACAATGGTTTCTTGACCACGTTGCCCAAAAATGGCTTACATATAAATCATGTCATTTAAAAATAAATAAGTTAAAACCTTTATAACGATAAGATTTTGAATGCATTGAAGATTTTAAAATCATAAATAATTTGCTTATTAAGTCTTGAATATAAATCAAGTCTTTGTTTTATTTTGGCTTTTATACGTTAGCCAAATTTTATCGGCTCTATATGACTTGAATGAAAGCAAATTCCAAGGTGTAATACTTGATATACTTTGAATATTACAATAGCATCATATAACCTTCCACTGTTATAATATTAAGTTAAATGTATGTACCCGCTTGAGATGTTTTATAAGATTTCGAGGTCGGATGATAGAACGTACGACTGCTAACATGAAAGTCTTACGTTCGGATCCTGAGTTTGAGTCCTTGGGACGTCACGAACCCACCCAGCTCTGAAGTGTACCTGAACTAAGTTAGAGAAAGTAAAGGCGGTTGGGTATAGTGCTGGCCCTACTATACTTCAATATAACGAGGTGTCATAAACAGGTAAACTCTACTTCATCTGCCCCGTCAACCGCTAGGTTGTGTGGAGTACTTTAACAGGTTAGATTAGGTTAGCATGTCGCCCCCTCCCTCGGAAATACGCCGCTGACAAGAGCTTTCCAGTCATTTCTATCCTTGGCTAGTCTCTCCAACTGTCCCCAGGTGTATCCAATCTGCTTGAAGTCTTTTTCCTTGGTCTTCCTTAGTCGGCCTCTTTTCCTTTTACCCTGTGGATTCCAGGTGAGGGCCTGTCTTGTTATGCTGGATACAGGCTTCGTGAGTGTGTGGCCAATCCATTTCATCTCTTCTTCATCTGGCATTTGATTTGTCCGTTGCCATAGTACCTCATTTCTGATGGTTTTAAACCAGCGTATTCGAAAGATCTTTCTGTCTTGCGTTTATAAATTATTGTATTTTCTTCCTATTTCTGGTAGTTATTCTTCATATATCAGCTCCATAGAGTAAAACAAATTTTTGTAGTGTGTCGAAGACCCGGATTTTTACAACCCAAAACTTTGTTTTTTAGAAAGGTTCATGCAATTGAAAACGTAGTTTTCAACCGTACTTACAAGCTCCGAGTAACCTGTTTACTTGTGACAATCCCATGTCAATTTTGCTCTTTATATCCTCATCGCATGAGGGTTGTAGCGCAAGTAAACAATCCGCAGCTTCTTTACCAATTCTTGGAAAACAAGAAAAGTTTATGAAAGAGGCTAGTCTAGATTAAGTCAGCATAAAAAGATATATCGTTATACAAAAAATTTGGTCGCTGTAGAGCAAGTAAACAGAATATGGTCCCAAAGCATTTTTTCCAAGTCTTGGGGAGCAAGAAAAATAATGAAAGAGTCTAGTCTAGATTAAGTCAGCATTAAAAGATAGATAGGGGACGGAGTGGTCTAGTGGTAGAGAGCTGAACCTGTAAGTCTGGAGTTCGAATCCGGGTTCAAGTCAGTAATCCGCCCCTGAGTCTCTAATGAGTACCTAATTCATGTTAGAGAAAGTAAAGATATATTGTTATACAAAAGTTCGATTAGTCGGTGTAGCGTGTTTAGTCCCGGCCGTTTTTATGTTTACCCCTGGTGTTGTGAGCAGTCTGTAGTCGTCTTGTTTGTACTTGTTTTTATATGCAGAGTTTCTTTCAGGCATCTCTTTTGAAAAACCCTTAAGAACGTCTACCTTTTAGCCACCCCCCACCCACCCCCCGAACGAAATAAAATTAATATAGAAAATATACAAAATATTCAACTTTTACCAGTCTCCGCCCCCCCCCACCGGGAAAAATTGAGTCCGTACCACACCCCCCCCCCCTCCCTAAATTTCAGTTTTACTTTTGCTATTTACATGTATGTGTCCTTTATTCGACATCACTTACTTGCATGCTGCATTAATATCTACAACGCCTACGATATCTGTCATTCCTTTGGAGCAGGTTAGAATATCATTCTCAGTACATGACGCTGTTGTGCCAAGCGCAGCTGCAAAAATAAGAAAATAGTATACTAATTAGTCTTTCTTACGATGATTATAATGATTAGGCTTCCTTACGATGATTAAACTAATTAGTCTTTCTTAAGATGATTATACTAATTAGTCTTTCTTACGATGATTATACTAATTAGTCTTTCTTACGATGATTATACTAATTAGTCTTTCTTACGATGATTATACTAATTAGTCTTTCTTAAAATGATTATACTAATTAGTATTTCTTACGATGATTATACTAATTAGTCTTTCTTACGATGATTATACTAATTAGTCTTTCTTACGATGATTATACTAATTAGTTTTTCTTACGATTATTATTATTATTTTCTAACTGTTATGCTGGATGGAATTTCTTCCAACATAACTAAGTATTACGTGTCAACTTGTTTTGCGCCAAAGAGGTCGCTGATTTCGATTTCAGGCTTTTCTCTCTAGCTTAGCTTACATAGCATTCAACAAATTAATTTGTTGTAAGGGGCATGCTTAACTTCACATAGAAGGCACCTATATTTTTACCCTTTAAAGTGGTCATCCAAAAATGACGTCACGCTTTTTTGACGATTTTTACCTCCCCCCTTCCCTCCGTCACACGTCGTCACAAAAAGCCAGACCCTTCCTAAAATGACGTCACACCTCAGCCTACAACCCCCCCCCCCTTGAAATTGCTTTTGAATTTTTCTTAAAACATCGATATTTTTCCAAAATCTTGTCAGAACTCTGTCAACATAGAGTATTTCGATCAATTCCTATTACAATTTATTGAAACCGTTTTATAAACGCGAAATAACGGCTAAGAAATCGTTTTCTAACAATCCTTTTTTTACACTGCAAAAAAAGTGACGTCACACCATCTGAACCCCCCCCCCCCCCCTGTCCCCCTCATCCCACACCGTCACAAAATTACGGACCCCCCTCCCCCCTACGAGGGTGACGTCATTTATGGACGACCCCCAAATCATAAATTTAAAATTAAAAAGTTCAAGATAAATATAAAATGTAAAAAACTTTTTACCATAAGCAGCGAGATTAGTTAAAAATAACAGCAGCTTGTAATCCATGTTCGCGATCCGGATCAGAAATTAACTGAGACAAATAAAGCGAGACTACTCTCGCTGATGAACTCCACAAGCCAAGTGAAGAGGGGAGTAAGTAGCAGAACAAAGGGAGATAAGATTAACATTTAAAAATAAAACAGCCAATCAAAACGTGGTAATGTTATTTTGGTATCGATACATGTGCGATACAACACGATATTTTTTTACCTGACTTTTCAACACGAGCAGTGGCGTCGCTAAGTCGGGTGTCACCCGGTGCGGTAACTCATGATGTGTCACCCCCCTCCCCCCCACTAAAGGAAAAAAGCATATATATATATATATATATATATATATATATATATATATATATATATATATATATATATATATATATATATATATAATCACCCACAACCCCCACCCCCACCCACCCCCTTATCGGTATCGTCAATTTGTACTTGAAATACTTTTCAACTCTATTACATTGAACTGGCAAAAAGCATATTTGTTCGAAATATTTTGCTTTTTTTTTGTTTTGGTGTTTAGTGTCACCCCTTAAATGGTGCCACCCGGTGCGGTCCGCACCTTCCCCCCCCCCCCCACCCCCGCCTCGTGACGCCTCTGAACACGAGGTCCAAATTTTCTCCGCTCTCAACAAGTAATTTGTTTAATTAGATAATCCAAAACTATTAACTGTGGTAATTTATTCCACAAACAAAGGTTTTACTAATATATAACAGCGTCGCGGATCATTGGAAGGGGGGTGGTGACCGGAATAGTTATACCTTAAATGCGTGCTGGTAGATGTAAGTTTTACTACGTTGTGTGTAGTTAATCTATGCAAGATTCTTAGCAAGTTGCAATGTATCTATTCAAACGTTATCACCTCTTTTTAACCAAAGGCGTAACCCTGGATTAAGTTACCACTCTGAAACAAATATAAACACAGCTGGAAAAAATCAAACGACACACAAGTCAACATGTAAAGCCTATATGGTACACAAGGAAGCCAAAGCAACGCTGACGATCCTTACTAAAGACTTGGTGATGTTTTAATACGTGTTTCGCTCTAAGCTAATGGGGACACCACACCTCCCTAACTAACCAAGCAGATTTGTTAATACTTTCTTATGTCAAGGCACGAATCTGTCTTTACTCTATCAAGCGAACTTAAATTAGTTATACATTTAACTGAAAAAACAAACATTTGTGTTAGTATATTCTCCAGTGTCACCGCTCCCCCCTAATTGGTGTCACCCGGTGCGATTCGGAAGCCTCGTACCCCCATTGTGACGTAAATTGACCTTATGTCCATATCGGCCTATTATCCTACAGCGATTTGCGTTATGAACGAAGCAGTGAGACATGGCTAACGTTGAATATTGTAACTTCAATACATACATATATGTTTATGTATATATATATATATATATATATATATATATATATATATATATATATATATATATATATATATATATATATATATATATATATATATATATATATATATATATATATATATATATACGTATATATATATATATATATATATATATATATATATATATATATATATATATATATATATATATATATATATATATATATATATATATATATAACCACTTGTTACCGTAGACAAAACTCCTCATGTCCTCCCTCTCTTGACCGACCTCTTTTAAATCTTACTTTTAATAATAAACAACAATATTCAAGTACCCGTCGGTTACCACAGCGGAAATGTCGACATAATATTATGTATGGTGTAAACACATTTCAAGCACTGACCTAATCTCAAAATGCGAACATTGCAAATGTATGCTCTTGTATTTAAGTGAAATATGGGCGGGAAGGTCGTAATTATCTAGATATAAGAGGGTCAGACATAATTTAATTTAAGCACTTTCAGTGTAGTAACGTCATCGTTTTTTTTTAATTTAAGAGGGTTTGCAAATATGGCAATTACAGTTAGGTTTAGAATCCGAAATTTAGTTCAAGAGTAAGTATGGTTAAAGTTACGGCTCAAGTAGTAATACTGAGACGATGCTTGGGATAATACAGATTCGAATACGCCCTGGCTTAGTTGAAGTATACTTGACATTCATGTTTCTAACCTATGGTAGACGGTACTCGTAAACACCCACCATTCATGTGCAGGGTGTCTAGTGGTGTGAGGGGCGTTATTCAGTGACGTCATAGATTTTCGCAGACAGGAAGCTATGGAGTGTTCTGGTAATGCTGAGTTTTACGCATCCTTTACTCTCCCTTTAAGGTCTATCGCACCCCCCGCAATGATTTAACCCGCCCCCCCCCCCCCCCCATGATTAGCCCCCCCCCCCCCCCCCCCCCACCTCCCCCCCCCCCCCCGTTCCTTCCCGTCAGTGCAAAATCTATAATAACACCCTGGTCACTTATCGTTAAAATCTAGAGTTATTTTAGAATACATTAATCGTATGGCTTTGATTATCCGTGTTTAGGTCTGCCTGCTTTTAACTCTAAAATGTTTGAATTATAATACATTAATACAACAACTAAGACAATCTCAAATTATTAAAAACACAATATGTAAAGAGATTGTCCAAATCTGGTAGATTAAGAAGTTGCTTAAAGTTGAATGCTATTATAACCAAACGATGGGCGCTCTTCAAAATACAAAATATAATAGATATATATATATATATTTTTAAATTTATTTATTTATTTATATTAGCCGTCCCGGCCAGAAGCAAGCACAAACGCAAACGCAAACACAAACGTAAAAATAAACTCAAATGTTAATGGGAACATAAACCTCAACTAAAGGACATTTAGGAACAGCTTCTCAACTGTTATTGATCAAAAATAATAATTAATAAACAGTAGCCTACATTCAGTATTAATAAAAGGTAGTATTTAAAATACATGTGGTTTACCTACCATAAACATACTTACATACAGAGACACTGAGTCCATTTGCGATTACGTGTATAATAGACGTGTTAAAGCCATTTTCTGGTCATAACAGCACTAAGAGTCCTCTTAAATGCAGAAATAACTGTCTTGTTTGGTGATTAAAAATCGTTTTCATCTAAATTAGCCTCATTTATGAAAGCTTTGCCTCTACCAGACTTTTCCATTCTTGCTCATTGATAATCCTGTGATCGCTAGCTTTATACCAATCCTGTTTTGTTTGCAAGCCAATGCTAGCTTGTGTTTCATAATAGACCATACTAAACGCATCAGTTATTATTCCCCTACAAACAAATGTGATGTCCTGTGTTAAATTTTTTCGCCATTTCTTATTGTTTAAAAAATAGTGTGATTAAAAATGCACATTATTTATTATTTACTTAACACATTTTTAAATATTAAATTCCTTTTCTGAATTTTTAGCCATTTTTATCTTTCGAAAAATTGTGTGATTATAGATGCACATCAATTATTATTCATTAACACATTTTAAAAATTGATTTCTTTTGTTTGAATTTTTCGCCATTTTTTTTTAAATTGTGTGGATATAGATCTAGATACACATCAATTTTACTTACTTAACAGATTTTTCAAATTTGCCTTGATTTGTTGTTTGTATCAAATAATACTGTTATTTTAGTACATTCAATGTTTCAAGTTAAACTAAACATTAGGAGTAGTAAATGTGGTCCTTGAGTTGATTTCAAATTCATAAAAAATATCAGAACAAGACGGGCAAAATAAATTTCCAAAAACAAACCAATAGCGTTCAATATAATGAGCATTTCTGATTTCTTAAATGCTAAGTATTTAAAAATATATCCTCTAATACAAACGTGTGATATACCAAAATGATATACAATGTTGCTTCCATTCTCTTTCCTAAATTATGTTCAAGTTGTTCTCAACAAACACGTTTCTCAACAATAATTCTTGTTTGGAACTTAGTCTTAGCCCACATACTATGTAAATAATTAAATTTAATTTGTCACTGGCCTTTTTGCCGCTTGAGTTTTTAAATAGATCATTGGTGTAGCTAATACTTTAGACCAACTGTGTGGAGTAGAAAAATTACACCACTTCCTTGTTGGTTTTATATACAAATTCAAAACATATTGTTACGTTATAACATAATGCTATTGAAACACATATGACTTCATAATGTCCCTAAAAATAACATAATATAAACAATATTTTACTTATGCTTGCATATTGCCTTTATCATTTATAAAAAAGGTAAATATTATACATAATCTAAATTTGTTTATTTTTTTTAAACACAAAGAGTTCACAGCTATCTTTCCAAAAACTTTTCACAAACTGCTTTTGTTTATACATCACGCGTGTATCTCTGTCCAGTGGCGTAGGCAAAGGGGGGGGGGGGGTTAAGGGGGTTCATAACCCCTCCCATGGACCCTTATATATATATATATATATATATATATATATATATATATATATATATATATATATATATATATATATATATATATATATGTATATATATATATATATGATTGTAAGGGGGTCGGCGTGATCGAGTCGGTAAAAGTCTCGAGTTCGAACCCTCGGGCAGATGAGGCTCGTTAGCTGGGGACAGCCACTCTTCTAGGAGAGACAACTCCAAAATTAAACAACTGCTTGCCTTGTAGTTTGTTCTTGGTTGGACAAAGGCTATGGAAGCAAATCCAAAAAGAAAAGCAGGCTGAAATCGGAGTCAATGGGCCTCAATGGCGTGGTCGAGTCGGCAAAAAGCTCATGGTTAAATTCGAACAAAGACTCGAGCTCAAACCCACTGGCAGATCAATCTCGATCCTCTTCAACACTAATAATTAAGAACGAAGAAGAAGAAGATATGATTGTATACATATGGAAAAATGTTTGAACCCCTCCCATGAACAATTCCTGGCTATGCCACTGTATCTGTCACCATATTTCCCCTGTCAATGGATGTATCTATTGAATCTTCGAAAGAGATCCCTGAAAGAAACTCTGCATACAAAATCAAGTACAATCATGACTAAGACAACACGTCTACAGACTGCTCACATCACTAGGGGTGAATATGAACGACCGGGGACTACACACGCAAACACTGACCAATCCAATTTTCTTATGCTGATTTAATCTAGACTAGCCTCTTCATTGGCCAAGAAGCGTGACGTTATTTATCGATAACCCTTAAACCTGTATAGGTTAATGATATATTTATTTAGCTATAAACAAAACATCATTATAGAAACTCAAAAAAAACAAATGATTTATAAGAACACTTTATTTCATAAATAATTCTGTTTAAGCATGCTTAAATTGATTAGATAGTATATTATTATTCCTTTTTATGTTGACAATTACTTGGAATTCCTTTCAAAGGACAGCGTTTTTGTCGTCAGGCGAAAGAAACATTCCGTACACTGCTCTAAAAGTGAAAAAAAATATTTGCTACATAGTTAACACAATGTATAAATGCACTAATAGTAGGTCTGTATAGAAATAGATACAAACAGTAGGCATCAAAGTAGACATTACGATTTGCAATTTAAATATATATATATATAATTATATATATATATATATATATATATATATATATATATATATAATATATATATATATATTTATATATTATATTACAGCAGAGGTTAAAAATCTGTAAAACTGCTTAACAATACATATGTTTTTTTATTTGCTAAACATCTGAATAGGTTTAGACGTGTTAAAAATTATTACTAAGGGAGTGAAGTCTAAGACTGCACATCCGCAAGTCTCAAGTTAAGTTCGTGTCTCGGGATAGAGTTTATAGAACGCCCCTGAGTCCACCCAGCTCTGATGGATACCCGAATAAGGTTAAGGAAGCTAAAGCCTGGGCATAGTGTTGACCACACTATTCCCTCGTATGCATAGGTCATTAAATTAGATAAACTCTACTTTATCTGCCCATATGTCTTGGACTTGAACAGGACAAAAACGATGATGATGAATAGTTTTATTTAACTTTATTAAATAGGCACTATATTTAACATTGCATACGTTGTTGAATATGCTGCACTATGTAAACTTTTGGAATTTTAGGCGTTGAAAGGAATGAAGGAGAGAAATGCTAACCAGTAGAAAGTGTTACTGTATTAGACGTAGGATTAGGAGAGCGGGGTAGATACTACATGGTAGGGTGGTAAAAAAAAATTAAATTGTACTTTGTTATGACTACAAGTATCCCATTTTCAAGCTGACCCTTTGACATAATTTACAAAGCTTAAATAACATTTATAAATGTAAAATGTAAAAAACACGATCCGAAAATTAATTTTTTAAACTTCAACCATATTTAATCCAATCCAGTTAATTTTGATTCGATAGGTTTAAACAGAATTGCTTGAGTTGGTAATATTAGAAATGATCTGAAACAACTAAAATAATAATACACAAATATTAATATTGCAAGGGAGACATGGAGGCGCACGGCGGGGAAGCAGCTGGCAGAGGCAGAACTCTCATGGGGGACTGCCAGAAAAAATGTCGGAGACATGTCGGAAGTAGCTTTCTGTGGCGCCCCTAGTGTTTTTGGAACGAAAAAGAAAAAGACGATGATGGCTTCTAAACAAAAATATAATTACAGTTAACTTACTCAGTTTCTTGTCTTCTTCTTCTTATTTTGCTTGTAAAAACCATTTTTTCATGCCTATATGTTAGCCAATGAAACATATAGCATTTTTCAGATTGAAATAGAAAAAAAACATAAATAGATGTTTATGGTGCCTACATTATTTTTACAATAGGATATATCTTTATAATATATGATAAAGATATGGAGCAGTGTAAATAAATTTAATATAGTGATAATAGATGCCTGAAACATGAAACTCCCAGAGGCGTATCGACCCCCTCCTGGCGCCCGGGGACAAACTTTCAATTTTGGCGCCCCCCCCCCCCATATATTTTTTATAGTTATTATTCAAATAGCAGCTAAAATGAGCTTATTTTGGCGCCCTTAAGGTCGGCGCCCGGGGACAAATGTACCCCCTGCTGCGCCCCCCCCCCCCGTCGTTACGCCTCTGGAAAATCATATGAAAATAATGCACACATCCTCCAGGGCGTCTGGGCGTTATTATATACGATTCACCATCCATTTCCCGCATTGTAGAGACAGTAGTTCTGAGATTGTACATTATTCCCATATAATTATGATTTAAAGTATGATCAAAAGACGTATACGTGAATAAATATGACAGTATAAAGCAATTGTTGTATAAAAATGTATAATCTATAACTTACACTGAGTTTTTTGCTGATTTTATGTCCTCTTTTGCTTTATTGATCAATGTTTTATTTTTGCAATTACTGGCAGCTTTTTTTACACATTTCTTGTGTGCACGAAACTTTCTGAAATCAAGGATCACATATAAATCAATGACAAATGTCGGAGACTGAATAAATTTTTTTTTACTTTCAGTTTTTCGTAAGTCATTGTAATAATAATTGCTAAATAAAAAATTAAGCATTTAAACGTGAATTTTATTCGTATTGTTTTGTTAACAAACGTTTTTTTGAATTTCCGTTAACAAACTTTCGAGGGTATATACTTTTTGATGAGAAATATTTTAACGTAGACCCACCTGCACAATGCTTTAGTAATTGTCTTGTTATTCAATGACTCTCGATACTGTTCGAACTTATCCACGCATTTTTGCACTTCCTTGCATTCTTTGGAATTCTCTTTCCATCCTTTTAAAATATTGTTGAAAAAAACATTCACATATTTACAATCTTGAATTGAGTTATATTATCGTTATGGAATTATTTAGGGGGGGGGGGGGGAACGGACGACACTAAATCGAAAAATCTTACAATTAACTGACAAAATGAATTATGACTCACTTTTTACGGTCTTTGTTTTTTCACTTACAACTTCTCCACCTGCAAAAACACACACTATATATTTATATATATATATATATATATATATATATATATATATATATATATATATATATATATATATATATATATATATATATATATACATATGCATATATATATATATATATATATATATATATATATATATATACATATATACATATATATATACATATATATACATATATATATATATATATACATATATATATATATATATACATATATATATATACATATACTTATATATACATATATACCTAACTTCTACGGACTATACCACTTCTCTGACTTACGTTATTACAAATACAGATTAAAAGTTAAATCTTACAACTTCTATCAAATGCTGTCAATTTGGATGTAATCCAGCCATAAATCTCTTGATCTAGATCTCGATCATCACTTTTACCTTTAGCCTCACGAACACATTTCTTTACACTAGGTAAATCTCTGGAATCAAATAGGAAGCACGTTTTATTTGCCATAGGAATTGGTTATTTTAAAGGGCACGTTTATTTGATTTTAATTATTTTAGTTTATTTTTAGTTTATAAATTAATGATAATTAGTAATTAGATATATTGTATGTTTTATGTATTAAAGCTCACTTTTGAAACCGAATGTGTTATTTTTAGTATAGAAATTAATTAATAATTAGTAAGTAGGTACCTTTTTTGTTGTATGTGTTAAAGCTCACTTTTGGGGTCATGTAAAATAGAGGTTTACCTGTTTCTGTTACCTGGGCATATTTTCTTTTACCTGGGCATATTTTCTTTTACCATATATGAAGGGATTTGGTGGTCAGCACTATGCCCAGCCACCTTTACTTTGTGTAACATGAGTCAGGTACCCGTCAGAGCTGAGTTACTGAGGAATGCTCTGTGGACTTGAAACCGGGTTTGAACTTTAGACTTTCGTGTTAGCAGTCGGATGCTCTACTATTCGACCACGCCGTTTTATGATTCATGACCAATAGAAGTAGAATAAGAACCAGCAGAGTTTCTTCTATGCATTTCTTCTGCCTTCCCCCCCCCCCTGAAGAAAGTCTACCCCCCCCCCCGAACGAAATGTAATTTATATAGAAAATATTTACTTTCAACAGTGGGCCCCCCCCCCCCCCCGGAAATTTTAGTCCACACCCCCCCCCCCCCCCCATGAAAATTTCAAGTGCCCCCCCCCCCCCCCGCTCCGAAGAAAAAAGTCTGGAAGAAACACTGGTAACGAGCAGAGTTTCATTGTTTAGCGTGAACTCACCTGCAAATTTCTTGTTTGTATATCTCTGGCCCAAGCCTCCGTCGACCGTACGAATCCACCTGTGTGAAGCACACCTGCATTTTCAGGAGATTTACGGTGTTAAATTCATCAGTACCTGTTGACACACAGTCAATCAAGTTTCGCTATTAAAAACTGATATTAATACAGAAAATTATGTATGCCGATATATATATATATATATAATATATATATATATATATATATATATATATATATATATATATATGTGTGTGTATGTATATATATATATATATATATATATATATATATATATATATATATATATATATATATATATATATATATATGCCTATTTGTCCAATTATTTTATTTTCTTTAAAAAATGTTTTCTTTTCTTTAAAAAATGTTTTCATATAATTTCATTAATTATTTCCAGGGGAAAATGAAAAAAAAAACTACAATCTTCCATTTTAGAGTTACATATGTGTTTGTTTTTGTATTAAAATTACTAGAATTTAAATAGACATGTTGTTAGGCCAGTTGAAGGGAATTTTTTGGGTACAGTTTATTGAGCCTACATTTTATATTGCTCGGAGAAATAATTTTACAAAAATGCTCATTTTTTATCTACTAAATATTCTAAACATATGTTTTACATCAATATTCTAAACAAATGTTTAACATCAATACTCTAAACAAATATTTTACATCAATACTCTAAACAAACATTTTACATCAATACTCTAAACAAAACCTTCATAACTCCAACATAATGAATCTAATTTTAGTGTATTATTTTCTTTAAAATCTTTATTTTATAGTCAAATGGATATAACGAAACCAATGCATATTTTTTTAAATGAATATGTAATCCAAATGTGTTTATATGTCACCTTCTTTTATAGTATTTTAAAGGATAAATACGTTGATTAGAAACTGTTCATATGCTGTGTGTTTATTCGGGCAACAGTGTTAGTAAAAAAATGCAGTGTGTAGTTATTAAAGGACTTACAGAAGTAAACTAGAATAGATGAGTTTAGCTGTTTCAATATGTAGTGAATCTGTTCTTCTATAAACAATACATCTGCGCATAGCTTGTTAAGTCTTGAGCTACAAACAATTGCATCTGTGTAAGCTCTGTTGACAGACAAATTATATATATACGAGCCGGCCCGCGGCATAACATACGCCGCTATTTAGTTGTTTCTAATTTTCAATAATTCATAATTTGTGAATTCGACAGTACCAACGCTGACACTGAAAATATTTCTTTAAAACACTATAAGTAGCTCGTTAAG